TTTTGCGCAATTTGTTTTTTCTAGTCTTTATGTTTGACATTCGAATCGGAATATCTATAGTAAGATTCTAAACAGGAACTGAAGATGCAGAATATCCGTCGCACGGCATACAAATTCAACTCAGCCCATTTAATTCAACTTCGATCCGAATTTAGTCATATTTTCCATTCGACAACCATCGTAACCATTTAAACAGATTGTTGCATATCCTTCCATTCGACAACCATCGTAACCATTTTAGCGGATACTTAAAGCTTTTGGGAGCGAGATCAATGTCAAATTATTCTGAACGCTATACAATATAAAAATTAATAATATTATATGTAACATTTATAATCACTCGCCATCAATACTCATCCGCCACTATGATTCTATGTGTGTAATATAAATGTGTGGCATCGAAGCTGCTCTTGCTTTCAAAACGGAGAAATACGATAGGACAAAGAAATTCCACGGCTGTGCTCATTTTTTTTCATGAGGAACCTAATCAAAAGATAAAGGAGAAGAGCAGAAAAATCAAATCGCTATAAATTATCGTATAACAAATCTAGCTTCATGATTCATGTGTAGGCTACATTACTTAAAATTAAATGATGAATGAAGTCTCAACTAAAAAGTGTGCATGCAGAACAATTTCAAAAATACGGATGGCGTGAATAGTCCATTTGACGTCTGGAAGATTATGTTGTCAGGGAATATAGATAAGCGCTGCTGAAAACAGCAAATTATCCAAAAGTTAATTCGCCACCTTAATTGAAACATAAGCCATGTAAAACATCTTCCCTATTTATTTTTAATTCACGGTGTGATTCGTTTCGTTAGGTTTACGGAGTTATGTTTGCTTTTCTTGTTTGAAAAAATTCTGCGTTCGTCAAAAACTTATTCACAAGTATAAAAATCAATCTATCCTTAAGGCTTGCCTGTTTTTCTTTTTGGTTTCGCTATCTCTAACTGCTATTTTTTATTTTTTTAAAATCTTGATAAGGCACCCAATCCAATGTATTCATTTTTTACTTTAATCTGAGGTTATCCTGCTATATAACATCTTTGTCCTCTTAACACTGACACAAAAGAACATCGACAATCGGTGAATCTTTTCACCTGGGCGACGTCCGAACCAGTTCAATTTTTTTTAAATTTCTGATTTAAACAGATTGTTGCACATTTTTAATGCTTTTTTATTGTTCCTCTCATATTCTAGCACTATTCACACTTTCACACACAAAAAAAACTAATCTTGATGTTTATTTTCCTATGGTCATCCTTTTTATTGTATTCATTTATTTATGTAGTTTTCCTTTTTTATCGTTAGCTCTTTTTTCAACTTATTGTAATTAAATGATATTCCTTTTACAAATGTTGTAGTGTTTTAACTCATAATATAATTGAACAACATCGGGAAATTTGAGAAAACGAAAAATGGGTGGTGTAAATCAATCCGTTATATTACCAAAAAGACGATTTGAAAGATTGAATAATTACCGATCGATGAAAACGAATTTCTTGCATTGTCCGTCCTGAAAAGACGACCAAAAAATATATAAAATATTTGGATGAAGAACAAGTAAGTTTCAGAAAAGGAAAGTACAATCCACAAAATTTTAACGTCAAGATTATTGATGAAAGACCTAAAATATAGCGGACAAAAGATCTTCCTTAGTTTTATCGATTTTAAAAAAGCATTTGATTCAATCTGGCACAAATTATTGTAGACAACTCTAGGATGTATGGGAGTATTAAGTATTATAAATTTACTTAGTATGAAAAACTAATCAAATAATAAAGGAACTATAAGATTCAACAATGGCAGTAAATATTTGTGCTGAACTCGGAAATTGGGTTAAAGTAGGAGTAGAAAACCGACAAAGTGATCCGTTATTACTACTGCTGTTTCCAACTTTAATACATTATTGAAAAGAACAATGAAAAATGGAAATATTATTTTTTGGTGGAATTGGAATTAGAAACAAATTTATAGAGGATAACTTGTTTTCTGGCATTTATCTATTAGCATCCACTGCAGATGATTTCCACTGGCAGAATGAGACGACGTATGAAGACGATGATGATTATCAAAACATGACATGTTGCATATTAACAAAAACAAGACAAGTGACGAATTGAATAAACTAAAAAAAAGTCGAATAGTTCGTTTCCTTAGAAAGTCATACTACTACGGACAAAAGAAATTACCGAAAAGTCGCAACAGCACGAAAAATATTGGCACCATTGAAATAAATTTAGAAAAAAGGTGATAAATCTATCAAAACAAAGATGAAAATAATATAAACCCGTGTTTTCCACGCTACTGTGTGCAGGTACATGCATGTGACATTGGACAATAAAAGAGAGAAAGGTAAAAATTAAATACTTAGAAAACTGTGAAGAACCAGCTGGGGACAGGTAAAAAACGAAGAAAGAAACCATTTTGGAGAACAAAAATTATGTAAGAAAAATTTGGACTGTTAAATTGTTTTCAATGCAATAACGATCGATGTTAATTTTAAAAAAATACTGGCTGTCATCTGTAAGGCCCATGCCTAACACAAGCTCCTAAAAAACTCATGTCTTCCTGGCGGCATCAAGTGAAGTGAACAACAAGACATTTAGTAAATTTAAAAAAGCTGTCGTTTTGTACAAATACGCTGGAAAATAATATAACAAAACAATACATACATTCATACACACATTCATACGCACATACATATATACAAACAAACATACATATATACATATACATAAAAAAAAGTAGATGGAACAAAAAACCTATCTGAAAATAAATAAAAAACAATTATTTATACAACGATCATGTCCATGAAAGGGCCGAAAATTCGAGTTTACCGCCCCTCCAAAGGTTGAAAGTCACTGCACTGACGGCTCCAATTAATGTACATAATGTTAATTTAAACATCAACCCCTTGTCACTAGTTTTTTTCTTTTTCAGCATCCTTCTATTTCTATTTATTTCTTCTTGACGAATTTGATTTGCTTTGTTTTGCCTGAATGAATTGTTTCAAACAAAAATTTTTAAATGTACTAAATATCTATAACACTTCAAAAATAATAACATTTCACATAGAATAGCTCATTTCATTTTGTAACTTTTGAAGACAATTTTTAACGAATTTTGAAACGAAGAAAGTCTGAAAAACAGTTGTGGACCAACTGACCAAAAAAATAAAACAAAGCAGCTTTTCTCTTCAACTTCTTTTATAAATATCTCAGTAGGTAATTAAGAGAAATGTTTTCACTGAGATAGCAGTAAAGACAACAGATGTTAAAACTAGCTTATGAACAAAGTTATTATAACCATCATGTTCATTGCATTCAAATTTCAAATCATGTCGTTCTGGTAGTTCAATGAATAGACAATAAAGCTTTTAGCGAAGTTTTCTAATAAATTTTCATAAAAAATCTTATACCTATTTTTTCAAAAGCGGTTAAATACAGGCAACACTATATTTAAGAAAAATTGGTCATAATGAGTTTGATAAAATTTGACATAAAAAACTTGACAAAATCTACGCAATCTAGAATATATTCAACTTTAATAACAATTTAACCCATTTTCAGCGATGCAAACTTTACAGAAATGATAGCAAAAGTTACTGATACTTCAGTTGCTCATTGACTGACACATTTCCATCATTTCAATTCCGAAACAAATTAGTTATCCTATTATAGCAATCCTATTGGCATTCCATTTCATTATCAAAAAGCAAATCCATGCTATCAATATCTCATGAGAAACTCACGAGCATAAACGGGAAAAGAATAGTAATTATATTAAAGTCTTAAAATTCAGAACCTATAACAGTTTTTAGCCTTACAAACACCCGTCATTTGACTACCTAGAAACAACTTTCCTCATTCCCGCTAAACGTCTGATAGTTTTCAGAGCCGAAAATGCAATATTTCTCATCCATAAACTTTTCCATCCCCGTATAAAAAAAACTTCAAACTCCTAAAAACAAAACCGCTAAAATTGTTCCAACTGATTCATATTAGTCTATGCCACCGTAATACAAATATATCAGACGCTAACGTTTGTTTATGATTAGAAACTTCGTATTGAAACTTTTGTAGACCCAGTCGTCATTAATATCAGAAGAGTTTTAACATTTAAAACACTGCAAAAATACGTTTCTACATACTTGCATGATTTCATATGACGGCAATGTTCATTGTGAAACATTGTTTAGTATGACAAAAAAAGTACACTACGCAATAAATGTTTAGTGAGGACCAGAGTGAAGTTAGAAAACACACTATATGGACTGGACAGATGGCGGCTAGTCAACCTGTTCAAGAGCGATGTTCCGTTCCTGGGAGTCATCTGGAGAGCCACTAAACAGGCTCACAAAGGTACATATATTACTTGAGAATAAAAAGAATAGAAATAAAGCCAAAAAACAATATATACAATATGGGCTTGACGAAAAAAGTGTGTATCGTAAGTAAATGCGAGCATGTCGTATAAACTAGCACTTGGTTCGCATATATTGTTGATACCTTGTGCTATTTGTTAGTAGTGTAATATTAAAGTATGTACATTGTTTCACTTTAGTAAAATCTCTCAAATATAAAAGGGGGGAGTACTCAGTACTCAGTATTCCTCTTCCATATTGTATCATTATATAGCCACCACCTTAACATAACTTAAAACATGATACAATTACCTGAAACCTCTAGACCGAAACCATCAGTACCCCTACACACAGAGGATCTAAGATTTCGTAACAGTTATATAACATGCTAGAGAACGTAGTTTGTGATCATTTTACTTTAAAATGAAATTTACCATAAATTTTGATACAAAAAAGAATCTATCATATGCAGAAAATAAATTATTTGATTGTTATATTTTATTTTGAATGAGAGTCTTGCGCAGATCCTGTTACAAAGAATTCAAACGTTGGCAGGTACGCACAGATGTTTCATTTTGAGCAGCATATTTTATGAAAACGTACAGATCTGTTTTAAAGTTTGAAAACCCAACACTAAAACAACACTAACTTTTCACGTATCATTTCAGCTTCATGTTTTATTACACTCGGTGGGTATTGCAGAAAGAGATCACCAGAACTGATGATTAGTTGTTCAAATGGGAGATCGTCAGGAAGTTGCGAAAGGAATCTGTGAACGTAGGGCATTTCACAGACACAACACATCACTTCGATCTGTCTGTAGAGCACAATCTGAAATATTTAAACCATGTTAATAATTTGATTTTACGTAATACTTTTCTTCATAACGTACATCAGCAGCAAGATAAATAGGCATAAGCGGGTGGCAGGCAATGAAAAAATCATAAAGCCGAACAATATCCTTCAAATCTTTCAGAACATGACCATACCAAGTTATCAACCAGCTTAAACAAAATATCATTCCAACTTCTGATCTGAAAATGTCAACAAAATAGCGTGATTACAAGGAAACGTGTTCAAATGTTAATTAGAATGAAACGTCTTCAAAAGTAAATGATCACCAACACTAATGATTTTTACAATGGGTTCCCAGGGGTAATAAGTAAACATCTCAAATAAACAAGAGCCCGCTAAACTAAACATATTGAGTCTATATTGATGAATAATGAAGATCTCTCTCAAGAAATCATTTTTCTAACATCGGAATTGGATAACTAATAGCATCTAGCATTTGAAACTTGTCCCGTAGTTTCCACTATTCAAATGTGTAATCGAAATTCAAGTTTGGTATCAGCACTGCAACAAAACTATCACATACAACTTTAAATGCAAAATATCCATTGCTATTATTATAACTTATTGCACTGTTTCCGATTTTATCTTTATTTAGGCAACTACTGATAATGCTGCATTCCTTGCTATCACCTCTTCATTCTATTGGTTGGAAATTACCAGACGTTCATTAACATCGAATCAATGGACCAGATAGCAGAGAAGATTAAAGAAATGTATAAATAAAAACTTTGAAAAGACCACAATAATAAAATTATTCAAAAAAATACATTACTATTTATGTACAATACGAAATATTATCGAAATTAATTTTATAAAATTTTGAAATGTAACGAAATAATAAACAATTAGGATCTAACTTTTCAAGAAACTTCCTAAGTTTGGGGTTTACTTTTCCAATTATCGGCAATAAATAGTTCAACATAAAATTAGTTTTATCCATCGTCTTGTCCATAAAATCCCTGCAAAAAAATGTAGTGACAAGTCTTGAAGATAAAGCAGTGTAGTGAGAGAAATAGAAAGGTTAACATTTGAAAAACTATACGTAAATCTTTTTACACTTATTTAATTAGGCAAATGTAGACGAATAAACGCAAAATAGCATCTGTTGTCGATCATATAATCAGATTAAGCAAATATTACTACTAAGGGAAAATAAAAATTAAAATTCATGATTGGATACTTCTACTAAAGGTTAACTCTTTTTGCTATGTTTTATATTTCATAACGACACAAATTTATTAATTGATTATTAATTATTATAATGGACACAGCGCAATTTTTTTTCTAAGATAAAAAGAAGACAGAATGACCATGATCAAATTATAAAGTAACTCAACAACAGTTTTAAATTAAAATTTAATTTTAACCAAAATTACAATAAAAAATGTTCTTTTCACCCATATATCAATATATTATTAATAAAATCAATATCAGCATCACTTTAAAACTTAACAGTGAGATTGAATCAAAACCTAAAGAGAAAAATTTTTATTCAATATTCAATTTGAGCAGCAAAGCTTTTTTTGATACATTTATGTCACCATGTGTTCAAACAAATCAGTTACTTAAGTGATCGGATCTCTCTCTCTCACTATATATATATATATATATATATATATATATATATATATAGGGTTTAGACTATCATAAATACAATTATTTATAAAGATCACTGCGTCTTCGGCATTATTCAACTTGTAGTTGAGTTTCTCAAATTTTCTAACGAGACTTTTATCATCTTGACGAAGTTTATTAAGGTTAAATAAAAAACTTTTAATATTTGAAGTTTTTGACAAAACATTATTAATAACGTCATTACTACAGAAAAGCTCTATTGATGATAATCACAGCATGTTAACTTCAAATTTAACTTTTCGATTTTTCTAATGGTTGATCGTAAAACATTTTCATGTTTCTTTAGTTCAAAACCAAAATTTTTGTTTATTTTATGCATGATAGAACAGAAAAGCTTTTTTCGGTATTCCTATACCATCTTCGGTGTTCAAATTGATATGTTGTGGTTGTGCCCATATGATCAAATATTTTTATACTGTGTCTAGTTATTGGCTCCTTGTTTGTTAACGCCGAATATGCTGTGATCATCATCAATATATATATATGTTGGTAATATATATATATATATATATATATATATATATATATATGTGTGTGTGTGTATATATATATATATATATATGTTATATTTTCTTTGTTCTGCAGGCAAAATGTAATAAAACAAAATAAATTCATTTAAAACATAAATATAAATAAAATAAAATAAAAACAATATACCGAAAGTGATTTTGCACAAGCTTGTTCATAATACAGAATGTCAACCTCTCTCCAACGACCAGCAAGAACGTGACAACAACATCATGGAACCCCTGTCAGAAGTTTAATTTAACGTTACTGGCCTTAATATAACATGAAAAATTTCAGAATTTCAAAAACACAAACTCTGTTTGAACAAGATACAATTTTTAAAAAATCAGGCAATTAACACTTTTATAACAATCTGTCTGTCTGATCGACAAACCAACAAATCAGTCTAATGATTGATTGTTCAACTAATTGATTGATTGATTGATAGATGGATTGATTGATTGATTCAACGATCTTTTTTGATCTCATAAGGGACCTTTGACTTCTCTTTTTCTGGTCGGTTTCTAAAATCATTAAATTACTTTGGCCCTTATCGTTCAGTTCAACATTCTGGCTTTCTGCAAATATATTTCCAAACATGTTCAATTTTTTTACTTTTACATTTGTATATGTGCTTTATTGTTTTCCAGGTTGGTTTCTCATTAATTAATTCCTCACTTCTGTCTCTGATTCCCAACAACTTTCTATAGCACTCCACTTCAAATGTTTTCAATGTCTTTGTCTCTCAAAACGAATGAGTGAAGGTTTGCCGGAAAAGAAATTTGCTTTATTTAGAACGACTTATATGTCTGTTCTAAATTCAAAAAAGTTAGAAGGCGGAAAAAGAGAATTAGAGTGATCGAGATGCGATGTGAGAGATCAAAGCATGGGTGAAGCAGGAGCAGAGGCGATATCAATTGAGAAAAAGTAGCGAACGTAGGGATGCAGTTAAGATTTTATACCTAAAACATGAAAATCAAGGATTAGAAACGAATAAAAATAATACTCTGAAGTGTGAGTATAGTAGACTGAAGAAAGGACGAATTAGCTAGGAGCTTTTGTATTAGAGAACAGCGTTTGAGAAGTTGTTGCAAAAGCCAAAAATCATGACTTTGGATTTGTTGGGATCTAACTGAAGATGGTTAGGTTAGTCTAATGATTGGTTTAACAGCGCAATTTTGGTTTCCACATTTTTTTTACGACTGACCATGTAAGTAAAGGGAGGTTGTTTTGGTAGAATAACCTTTTCATTAGAGAAATTGAAAAGAAATTTGAAGTAGGTTGATTGTTGAAAGATAAGGATCTGATCTATTAAAATTAGATCTATTTGGTAGGGAAAATATTGAGCTCTTTTAAAAGAAGCTAGAAATAATCAAACGAACATTTTTCAAAAAAGAAGATTAGTAAACTTAGAAAATATGGAAAAACAAGTAGGAAAACTGTTTAAGAAAACATTGATAAAATATTAAGTGAAAGTTTCTTGACCAAAGTTTCTATTGTGATACAGGAATTAAAAGATTCAAATCCCCACAAAACAAATAACATGGCTTTCATAGGGTAAACTTCCGCTGGATGGATCTGTTAGCAAAAACATGTCAGTACAAATCCACTTATGATTTTATAGATGATTCTTTTGCCAATCTTCAGTCAGTGTATTATATCTCTCTGAAAAATGGCACCACTAAGTCAAATTTTACTGATCCTATTACAAGTTGACCACACGATTTAAAAACAAGCTGAATCATAGACTCAGATCAATAAAGTAATCCATAAAACAGGCTATTACTAAAGTATAATCGAGAATGCAAAAGTGCATTAACCCATTAGCGCCCAAATCACAACCACGCTACCAAAAAGTATCAAATTTTTCAGTTAGGTAGCTATACCTAATATGAGACCCTAGCACAAGTATTTTTTTGGATTTTATTATTTGTAACAAAATGGCGGCGTGTTCCCAAATGGGAACAATGGGCACATCAACTACCATGTTCCCATTTGGGAACATCTTTTTTTTAACATAGAAATAAATATAGCAGACTTTTAATTATATGGAAAAAATGTAAAACGCAAAGAAAAATGATTTTTTTTAATCAAATGAATTTGTGAAAAAATATAGTTTAGTCAAATTTTATTAGTCATTTATTAAAACTGTTAAATTTATTGTTTTTCGTGATAATCTTTTTCACAGTGAAGATGCAATGGAACATTGCACTTGTTACTGAAGACGTGCATTTTTTTTGCATTGTCGACATCTGGATTGCTTCCCAGATGGAACCAAATGATGACCCGTCATATCGAATCTTACATCAGGAATAGGTTGGCTATAAGGTCCTGTCATCATCTGTGCTGGTTCTTGCAGTTGCATGATTGTACGCACAATATATCTCCTGAAATCTAGATGATCAAAAGTTCCTCCCACTTCAACATGAAGTCGCCAGGCTGCTACGACAGCCATGTTTATTCCATTTATGAACAATGGCCACCACCATTTCTTGGACCTCAACATTGGTCGATAGGAAGCCATAAATCTGTCAAGCAAATCGACTCCTCCCATGTGTGTGTTGTACCTTTTAATGAGTGCTGGTTGAGGTACATCTACAGAGGCTTTCTTGGTGCTGCTCCATCTCCGAGCTTTGCCAAGTGGAAGAATTTTATCATAATTTGATGCAACTATGACACATTGATTATCATTCCACTTGACCGCGATTACGTTTTTGTCACAACATGCATCATAAAATCCTCTGTCTTTCTTTCTCATTGTTTTTGAATCCATCAATGGACACTTTGTCAAACGATTTTCTCTTACTGTCCCTGTTGCTTTTATATTTTTTTCTTTCAGTGAGCTGAGCAAAGAGTAGTTGGTGAAAAAATTGTCAAAGAAAACTTCATGATCAGCAGGATTTTCAAGGCAATCTAACAGTGACATGACTACACGATGACCTAGTCCATGACTTTCATCATTTGTTGTCTGTGGTTCTTTGCCACAGTACACCTGTACATTGAATGGATATCCACTGGATGATGCTAATACCCAAAGTTTATACCCAAAACGAATGGGTTTTCCTCGTAGAAACATTTTTGCTGAGTGATGTCCAAAATAGGGTACCATTTCTTCATCAATACTAGAATTTATTGAAAACACCAAATTGTTGGAAACGAGTATTCAATGCAGAAATGAAAGAACGAACTTTAAATAATTTGTCTCCTTGAACAATCTTGTCATTATCTGCCAAATGAATATATCTTTTAATTTCTAGGAATCGTGATCGAGACATCTGTTCTGCCACAAATGTAATTCTTATATCTTCATCCCTATTCCAGTACATTCTTTCCCGAGGCAATGTATGATATCCAGTCAGTAAAAGTATTCCAACAAATTTGTCCAAATCTAGGTGATTAAATTCAAATTTATTATTGTTTTTTTGTCCAGCATATTTGACTGTCTCATTCACTATCATATCCCTCAACTCATTGTCATAATAAAGTTTGAAAAGATGATATGGTGATTTGGAACATAATTCTGGATATTTTGATCTTATTTTTTCTGGTGTTCCTGTTGATGATTTTCCAGTGAAATTTATTTTTTTGGTCCATTTTGGTTCTGGCTTCTTACATTTTTTATCTTTTTTTTGTAATCCAACATCATTACGTGCGTCTGCTTGTTCTAAAAGAACACCAACTCTTCCAGGAACTTCATTTGGCATGTTTGATGGCAGCAAATCGTCATCATCTATCATCTCTTCATCTGAAATGCTGTCTACCTTCGTAGGAGGAAGCAACACTACATCAACTGGAGTCTGTGAATCCGTAATTGCATCTGTTGCGTCAGCTAAACGCTCAAATTCTTCAATTTCATCATCAGATTCTTCAAAATCCACATTTTCATCTGCCATAATGTTAGCAAGAACTTCTTCAGTACGAAATCTCTTCTCAGACATACTTAAATTGTAAACAATTTAAAATAAAAATTATTAAATATATCACTATAATATCATGAGAAACTAAATTGAGCACATGAGGTACTACGTTCCCATTTGGGATCATAGTACCTTATGTGCCCAATGTTCCCAATTGGGAACGTCAACACATATATCTCATTTAAAAAATAAGTTTAAGATAAACCTCTAATTTCATAATTTTAAAATATTAAGAAGTAATTGTGAATAAGTAAAAAATAGTTTAATTTAAATAAAACATAATACTTACTTGGAAATAAAATCAGAAAACAGACTAAAAACTTTTTTTAAAAATACAAAATTTTTAAAATGGCTACCAAAGCATGCGATGACAATACAAAAGACCACGTGACTGTATTGCATAGATATACTATTAATAAATATAGATTGGCCAAAACATGTAAAGCTTGTGCAAATATAAAATTTATGTAGCGCTAAATATACACGTTCCCAAATGGGATCATTGGGCGCTAATGAGTTAATCAGAGTCTTGCTATTTTTTTAAAAAGATCTATTGATCATTCTCAATTTATGCAAATGCTTCAGCTAAATTTGAAACTTGAGTCAGTCTATTTGAAAGTTGTTATAAACAAACGTAAAAGAAGTAGATTGAATATTTATAGAAATTAATTAAATGTTAATATATGTAGATTAAATGTTATTAGAAATTGTGATAGTATTTATATAAGTTGATTTAATTAACACTAAAAGGTAGTTCTATAAAGAACGTTTATGTATGTACAGGATCAGGATCAATTGCTTTTCAGCAGCTTAAAGTCATTAATCAATTAATTAATTAAAACCTGATAATAGTGAAGGTCCATGTTGTTGACGAGTATCCACATGATGCAGTCAATCAACTGATCCTGATAACTCAATCGGACTTCTTCTAGCATTCCTGTTGGATTTCATGTTTCTTAATTGGTGGATGTGTGTCTAAATCCCTTTCAATCATTATCAACATTATCAAAGTATTAAAATGTGTCATGGCATTGGAGAGATGTGGTATAACAGGCCAGTTTCGTTGGTCAGGGCACGCTGTCCGCATGCCGGATGCAAGAATTCTAAAACAGATCTTCTTTGGACAGCTGGCCTCTGATGCTCGTGTTGCAAGTGGTCCGGTTCGTAGATATAAAAACAGTCTGAAAGAAAACTTGAAGAAGTGTGGATTGGATCCAAAAACATTTTGCACTAAAACTCGGCAGCATACATAATGGAGATCGAACTCACAGACGAAGGTTTCCGTCTTTGAACAGGCACGAATCGCAACTTTGGTTGAAAAAGGAAACGGCGAAAATAGGTGGCCCAAGATGGAAGCGGCACGGGGGTGTAGGTCTGTGGAAACAGTGATCGTCGATGTTAGTCTAGAATTGGACTTTTCGCCCACATGAAGTCACATCAATGACCCAGTTCTTAATATATAATTTTAGAATGTATCGTATAAACACATCTCATGTTGTGAGAAAAGACAGCAAGATGGCACAACGTTCAATCATCTAATCTTGTGTTGCACTGAATAATTCGAGCACAAAAACAGATTTCCACCATCTCATAAAAATTTCTTTTAAAAAATAAAAACGAGTCCTTGTTCTCGTTGTTACAAACAAAAACTCGTAATCATAAATTTACAAGTCAAAACAAATATTTTCAAAGAGTCGTCAACAAACCAGGAGGAAACCTTTTGACAGATCTATTAACATCAAGAACAACTTGACCGTAGTCCTTATGTGAATGTAATTCTTCTTCATCTGTCATAAATAGCAAAGTAACATTATAATATATAATTTGAAAAACCCCTTAAAAATTTATTAAAAAATTTATTAATATTATGATAATTTCATCCATTTTGCTCATTGGAAAAATCTTTACAAAACACAATCTTCAACTATGAAGCTTAACCTTGACAGAGGTAAGCCAATTGAATGGTCTGACTCAACTTTTGAAACTATTGACACTTTTTCAGCTGAAGTCATTAGAAACCAGAAGAAGTGTTTTTCCATCATATCAATTGAAGTCTAAATAATATGGCTTCAATTAGAGCTTAGCCTACAACATCTTTGTCACTACAGTGTACTCAGAGATAAGGACTCATGAATTGGCTCTACTTTACAAAATAGAGGATAAATTAAGACCGAGAAAGAAAACAGCAAATATTGTTTGCAAAAACCGCAATGATCAAAACAATTGACAATTTATGTTATTTTGTTCTTTAATGTAATTGGCAATCTAGTTTAACCCCGCCCACGTCGTTTTATTTTGCAGTTGTGGACAGTTGTGGTGGTCTGGTAGTTGTGGTTCAATTCTGGTGGTCGCGGCGGGTGAGGTTTTTTTATTGCGGTTTTGGGGAGTTGCGGTTTGTACAGGGCTCTATACTGAATTAATAGACTTTTCGTTTGATCCCATTTGACTGGTTATTCAGCACATCAACAGAATGATTATTATGATTATATTTATCAGCAAGAGAAACTGCAACTGTATAAATCCTCAAAGTTTTAAACCACAAAAATTTGAACTCAGTTAAAGCAGAAAGCACTCAGCACCACCGTTTTCAAAACTGCAACCACCTGTAGTCTAGTGTTTCACATTCAAAGTGTAACAAATATCTCTTCTCAAGTTCTGACCGGGCCCTGAAAACCCAAAACACAACAGAACCAAATAAAATTCAGAAGATGCCCTATTCACATGACAATAAGGTTGGCCAGTGATCTACTGTTTAAAAATATATTTGTTAAGCAAAAAATTTGAAGTGAAAGCAACCAGACTGGAACAGTTGAAAAGCAAAATGCAGCATGATTAAACCCACTGCAAACTCAAATGCTGCATTCTTTAGTTTTGAATAGGTGTTGAACCGGATTTGTGGAGACCCTCCAATGTTTCAAAACGTGAAAAATGTTGCAAAGTCAGTGAAGTCACTTATGCCAAGATTAAATTTGTTAAAAATCCTTCGCAAATCATCCTTTCTCCCTCTTGTTATCATCACCACCAACATTCAAGCAGCATCAATGATGTATTGAAAAAAGCACGCTAGCTAGTTTACTTATTAAGAAAACAAGAAGAGTAATAATAGATATAGCAAAAAATAAATTTAAAAAATAAATTTATATAATGAAAGAACCTAAAATGAATTTACTTTTTGAAAATCTAACTCAAGTGCATAAGAATGCAATGATTTAAAATTGCAATTGCATTAAAAAACTGCAATTAAGAAAATAGTGTTAACACTGAACAGTCAAAACTACATCTGCATTAAACATTCTTTTTAATAAAACAGATTTTTGTTTGATTTGAGTTCAAACTCCAGATGTTAAGCTGGCTCTAGAAAAGACTTCTTTTGAATAATGAACTCAGACATTGTATATTTATCCCACTATTTTCAACTCAGTCTTGTCTTGTTAGGGTTTTTTATTAATGCACTCATTTAACCTCAATCTAAAAATTAAATTTCTATCACAAAATCACCTTCTGCAACCGACACATGATTAACTGTGTTTATGCACAACTTGAATAATAACTTCGTCTTTTATCTCTTTCAAAAAACTTACTACTATTTGACACAGTAACTTTACAGCAAATTAAACATTAATTTGCCTGCCCTTTCATGTGGAAAAAGTTATATGAAAATTTTTATACCTTATCATCATCCTTTACCATCTCCCTTCTCAGAGAACAAACATCCAACCTGAGGTGTAAATTTCACACCAGAAGTCTGTATTTAAACATCACGCCATTCTTACAGGGGTCAGTTTAGCAAATGTTCAATTGTTTCCATCCAGTAAATTTTTCCTTCAACTGTTGACCCACAGCTTTCATGATTTTCAACATACTCCATCAGATGAGTGGCTCAATACATCGATATATATTAATATATTGATACCTTAGCCATTACACAAAGTCTATTCAAGCTACTGTTGATAAACGTTTTATGAATAAACTAAAAACTTTAGAGAAAAACAATGTAAAAATAAAAGACAACAACAAAATAACTCTATAATAATAAAATTAACATAGAAAAATTACTAGGTTTAGGAGGAATGTTGTCTATGTCAATGTTTAACAACAGAGGCCAGGCTTTTTGCCGCAGTTCATTACTAACTAGACCCCCTCGACTAATTGATAATTGTCTCAACATTTCAACATTAATTGGATTACTAGCCAGAGCCTTCAATATTAATTGAGTTTTAGTTGAAAAATCTAAAATGTGACAACATTTAATTAATGATTAAATTAAAATTTGTTAGAATATTTATAAAATTTATTAATAAAATTCATAGTTTTGATCAGCTAACCTATATTATTATTATTTATATTAAAAATTTTCTTAAATAATCAACAACACACATACACGCACACACACATTGCATGTGAATAGCCTGGATTCATTGAATACTATATACTGCATGTGATAGACAGATATCTCATTACATTCAAACAATTAAGACCATTTATAACAATTTAAACATCTTTCCACCTAACTTCTTTAAATTATCTGAAATGGTTCATAGAGGTGAACCAATTTATCTTACCAATATATTGACTTAGCATAATTCTTTTATTATGAATTTTAAATTATTTTCTTTCACGTTAATGAACATAGCTTGTCATCAATAAAGTGGTCATCAAAGCTGACCACACGAAACAGCCTGGAAGGATATGAAATGTACCTCCTGATGCAGTGCAAATAATTTGTTTATCGTTATATATATATATACAAATTATTTAACTAATTCAAAAGGATGTATCTATATTGACAGTTTTAGGCACTTTTATGTTATTGTCATATTTTTTATTGCCATTACAGATTAGAATATTAGATTGATCAGCATGATGCATAGTACAGCTTGAGAACTGCAACTGCTTCTCGGTTATGCTAAAAATATTTTGAGCATTTTTACTACAAGGTTACTATTTGGTTTCATAAATCAGTGACTCCTCTTCTGTTTAATAATATTTGGAAGCTGATAAATTTGGGTCAAAATTAAAAAATTAACTTAAAAATATGCAAATTTCTTACCTTAGTTTTTGATCTAGGGCAAAGACTTGAAAAGCAGCATTCACTTTTAAAACAATGTAAATTTCAAGCACTAAAAAACATAGGCTATTCCTAACTAAGAAGATACTTGAGAACCCTTCGTGGTTCATAATTAATTTTTTTAATAAAGAGTTGCTTGGTGTTTGTCTATTAATAAAGACATGCACATTATACTAATGATGATAGTACTGATGCAAATGTTCTTACTTCATAAAATTATTTGTTTGCTCAATTAATTAACTATTAACCTGATTAACAACAGCTCAAACAAGACCCTAAAAATCTAAAATTAAAGGCAGCCACAGAGTGATGCTATCCTAAGTGTTGAGACTCACTAGACTTGAGACTTGTTCCTTTACTTTTACAGCTTACTTTTTACTTAAGTAAAGTAAAAATATTAAATTTTAAATAGGTAAATTTTGTATTTTCACTTTACCTTACTAATTTACTTTGACTTACCATTACCATTCTATCTGTTGCAGTTAATTTTTAAATTTTAAAATTAATTTTATATCTACAAAAATAACTTGCGTTAATTTTAATTTAAACATATTTGACAAAATGTCTGACTTTCATTATAAAATCATTTCATATTAAAAAGAATCGTTTGAAAAAAGTAACCATTGGCTCTGTTGTTTTCCAACTTCATGTGTAAATTAGTTTTGTTATCTATCGTTCCGTTTATTGTACTGCCATCAACGGCACTGCCGCTCGTTGTACTTAAAATTAAAATTTTATTCGAACGCATGAAATCCTACATAATATAAATCATCACTCTTTTTCTCTGGTCACATAACCCATTTGGCTTAAATTACATCGATATATTATATTCGATATATTGACGAAATATCTTTTTAATTTTAAAACTCATGACCATTGAGTTATTAGAACAGAATTAAATCATTAGCATGAAGTTAGTCAAAAACGTTATATATATAAACACAAACAAGTGTATATATATATATATATATATACAATTATTTATAAAGATCACTGTGTTTTCGGCATTATTCAACATGTATTTGAGTTTTGAGTTATTTATAAATATTTATAAATAATTGTATTTATGATAGCCTAAACCCAAAATATGTATATATGTAAAGATGCTTATATTTATGTGTGTGTATGTATGTATTTATTTATTTTCAAATTTTATTAATAATCAACAACATATCAAATAAGTGAATAAAACTACATGTCTTGTGGTGGACACTACAGGCAGATATATGAATAGTTAATGAAATGAAATAAGAAAAATAATTGAAGCAAAAAGATAATTGAGAAATAATAAATAAATGTTCGTGTTATACCATGGATATATAATCCATGTATGAGACTCTCATAAATAAATAGATAAGACTATTTTCTGAAATGAATAACCAACTGGTTAAATTCTCCAACTTGTTCACTAGAAACAGGTTGGTTCTGAATTCAAAAAAATCCTGCTATTTAGTCTTTGGCCCTAAAATCAAAACGAACAATGATATCTTCTCTGGCCTAACCATTCATATAGGTGACTCAGTGATATCCAGAAACTCGTCAGCTAAATTTCTGAGAATTATTATCCAGTCTGACTTGAAATGGAATGAGCATATAAATTCGTTGGTAAGTAAATTATATAAAACTACTGGCATTATTTATAGATCACGCAATAAATTAGGTACTAAAATCATGTTAATGCTATATTACTCCCTAATCTATCCATATCTCCTATATGGAAATGTTTTTTGGGGAGCTTCTTATGATTATTTAATAAAATCATTGACAATAGAACAAAAAAGATACCTTAGGGTTTGTTTTTTTTCTGAAACACCTTGATCATACACTGGCAATATATTCCGATAATAGTATCCTCAGTATTGAACAGCTTAATAGGTATCTAACCTTGTGTTTCGTTTATAGTGTTATATGATGCTGAGTTCAACATGCTAGGCTCATTTGAAACGGTGTCAACAAACACTAGGCAAAAAGGTTTGTTGACACCAATGACTTGCAGAACTGATTTAAATGCTAGATACTGGGCGGTAAGAGGAATTCCTCTTTGGAATTCCTTGGAACTAGGTAAGAAAAAATTTTCCGGATATAATGAATTTAAAAAATATATAGAAAACTTATGCAGATCAATGTAGGCATGATGCTTTCTTTGTTTAATTTTGTCGTGTTTTATTTGTTTTACATCTGATCGAATATTACTTACATTTATAGCCGATGATTAAGGTCATAGACCAATTTCGTACCACCACACGAGGGTAAAGTAGCAGCATTCTTGGACATCGTCGGCCAACTAACTGCAACAACTTTTTTTGAAGACTACCTTCGGTTTAACAAATCCACTTGACTAACAAGCCAATACAAGAACCGGCACAAAAAATGATCTTGACCACCGCGCGCAACGAGCACCGCATGGTTTTTGCAAACGGTCACTCCAAAACTGAGTAACACCGGCATCGACATATACAATTTTTCCCATGTTAATTACTAAGAGATATCATTTAAACTTCGTCGAATTTAAACCAGGTTCATAGCAACGACTAAACGAGTAAATCACCCGTAAAAACTTAGGCGTGGTAAAACACCAACACAACTTAAAAGTTATGCTGATAGAGCCAGCCAAGTTTTACCAGCTTTCGTTAAGATAACCTAACACATGCCTTTCACAAAATCTTTATTTTGAAGCGTCAATTTTCAAAGTTTATATATAATATATTAGCATGCAACATATTATTTGAAAATTTTTCCTTGGTTGAACTTTTTGCCTTCAAAATGACCTTCCCACGAAAAATATTCCTCTACTAATTTTTTCGTTTCTTCGCTGCTGGGATCCAATTTCTTCCATGTATATGATTCATAATCTATTTGCAGATCATCCGCTAACTGTTAAAAAACAATTGTAAATTTATGTTTTACATTCGTTTTAAATAACATTTTCAAGAAATATGGTAGCGTAAATATCAAGGCCTGCCAAGATTATCTGGGAGTGACAATTCACTAGAACCTACACCTGCTTGAACTTTTCAATTGTTCCTATATCTCATATTCTTTTTTAACTTTAAATTCTTTTTAAATATGTACTTTATGGAAATGCTATTTCAGTTTTATCTTTGACATCTTTCATTCCGGCTATGCACCATCAACTTTTTTTTTTTGTGTTTTCACTTTCTGCTCCCTTTTAAAAATAACTGAAGCCAATTGTCAAATTTTGGCCGAGCATTAGATGCAGCTATTTTTTATTGTCAGAACATTTCAAATGTTTTTAAATCATAACGTTCTTCTCCAACCATACTGTGATAGAATAACTGAATAGTTTTAAAAAAGTTTTTCATTTGCTTCAATTTCAAATGTGAAATTTTTTTAAATGTTTCAACTTCTAGAAAATAGGCAACCAACTTTGAATGCTAAATCTTGTCCTCTCCAAAACCAGACACCAGATATAGTGTTTTTGTTATCTTCTCCAAATACAATCATGCTTCCAAAAGAATGCTTTCTCATTCTATCCAGCCGTTGGAACATGCCTGAACAATGAGAATTATACATAGAATAATTTCAAATAAACAAGTAGACAAAAATAAATAAAACAAACCTGAAACTAAGTTACAACTCATAAAAATGAGTTTAAGCTCTTCTGGATACTTGTATTCACAAAACCAAATAGAATAGTTATCCTTCTCAAACTTTTCCCAAAAATAAGGAAGAGCAACTTTTTTAGTGTCGTTGTTTGAATAAACTCTTTTGAATTCATCCATGTTAAAAGAGCTAGTAGCAATAAAAATATTAAATTATTATAAATAATTAATCAATGCGTTGATATATTTACAAGACAATACATAGCTGCTCATAATCGAAGCACATTTCTTGTTCAGCTGTACGAAAATAAGTTACTATATCATAATCGTAGACCTAGAAAAGAAAAGTATATTAAGCCAAAGGAAACTAATCAGCCCCTTAAAATTTGACAATAAATGTAACAACCAAAAATGAGAATGAAAATGTTCCAGTTTAAAAGTTTTCAGTCTTAGTTTGCCTTAAAATTTATTGAAAGGACAATTAGGTAGCCAAAGATTTTTTAAAAGTTCAACAATTAAACCTAAGCCAAAGCCTAGCCAGTCCCAACCTGTTATATTAATACTTACTTTTTATGTGATGGTCAAACATGAAGAAATTAATAAAGCATCACATCTGCATAGATCTTATGGTTTATCAATACGTTTGATATCCATTATCTCTCTTAGAACAAAAAATCAACAAAATTTTCCTTATAAGCATTATAATTTTACCTTTTACTCAAAATAATTTTGTACACACATTATATGTTATATTCTCTCTACATTACAGAAATTATCTTTTCTTAGCAGTCCATTTTACATATTATGATACTTCATTTCCATATAACTGATTCTTGTTAGCAGTATATTTTATTCCCATAACAATGGCAAAAAGGAAACAAATTTTCACATACTATAAAAATACGTTTTAGATTTAGTACTTCATAGATTATTTAAAAAGGCAAAAAACTCTACTTTGAATAAAAAAAGGCAAAGTTTGGTACCCTTTAGGCAGAGCAGCAAATGGATCCGATGTAGGCTTTTCTGCAAATTCGTTTTCATCTTCTTCTTCTTGATCTTTAGCCTTTATTGAAATTAAATAATGGGATATATGATTGAGGGCTGCAAAAACTGTCTTTACAAAGCTAGATTTTTAGGTTTTTAAACAATCTAAAAAATTTGCTGTTTTCAATCCATTTCGCAAACCCAACACTATAATTTTATGTGATATTACGCTGTCAGTTTTCAAAGAACCATCATTTTAAAAAATTTTAGAATCTTGACCAGAGTTTTTGCCAGCTATTTAAAACTCTAGCTAGTAATAAGTAATGATTTCAATCCCTATCATTATAAATCAAAAAACACTGAAACTGGTCTACTGTATTTCATTCAGTTAACTCATGTTCTTAACTTCTTTATTTAGTTTAAGCTCAGCCATTATTTGGTTTTTTCCAAAAGATCATAGAGTTCCACCTGATCTTCAATATACATTACCTCTTCCTCGTACTAAACCGAACGTTTATCTTATACCCAACCCAAGTTTGGGTTGATGCATGACACAATTGGCTTTCACAGACAACACAGCAACGGCATATATAGCCAAGTACAAAGTTATGCAGGTTAAGAAATGTTTATACCACCTGATGTTGAGAAAAACAAGAATTATGAATGAATACCTTTTCTTGTAGTTTTTCTTTAGGTTTTTCTTGTTTTTCCTGATGAGCTGAAGGTTTTTCTTGTTTTTCCTGATGAGCTGAAGGTTTTTCTTGCTTTTTAGGCTGGTGACCATGCCCATGTCCATGATGACCATGATGAACAGGCCCATGTTGAACGTGGTGTGCCTTATCTTATCAGGTGAGTTAAAATTGAACAGAACTAGAAAATTAATAAATCAAGTAAATAATCATAAAATTTTTATTAATACTAGAACTGAGTTAAATATTCAGTTAACGTTTCAGCATGCATGGAGCTAACAACTTGGATTACATAATTCCACTTAGCACTTGAAAAAAAAACATTCAAATTTTTCAGAGAACTTAGGCAGAAATAACTTACTATCTGGGTGAGCAGCTTTTACACACAAATGAACATCTCCAACTACAGCTTTGAATTCTGGTTGATTGACCATGGTAACAAACCAACGATTTGTGTTGACAAAAGGTTTTCTAAACTCAGGCTCTAAAACCTAGGTTTAAAATTTAAAAAAAAAATCAGTTTTTACTTGTTACCATTTTATTCAGAAATATACTTGAAAACTAGAAACTAATAAAACAAACATAAAAACATTACTGACAGAAAAATGTAGAAAACAAATTCAATGTATTGAAAAAAAATTAATAAAGATTAATCTTTATCCAATGAATTTAAAACATAAAGAAAAATTTTAGAATCTTAATCTGTGAAAGTTATTTGCAAAATTCAAGTTATCTTGAAATGCACATCAAAGATGGCTTGCACGAAAAGAGTGTGCATTTATATGGTAAATACAGAAAAAAACTGAACTTGTCTAATCTGTGCAAAAAGTTAAATGATCTGGAGAAATGTGTCAAAATGTAAAAAGTGTGGGACAAAAACAAACTATACACAAACACTTACAATGAACTATCTTGGACTTTCAATAGTCAATGAAATATTATTTACATCAATACTATCATTGGAAGTAAGACTAGTGCAAAAACAATATGAAGTCTTAAAAAAGGTTTAGATGAACTTTTGATTTCATGCACAGTGCATTAATGTTGGTCATTTTCAGTTGGTCATAAAACAATTACAAAGAATGATAACTCAAATGACAAATCTATTGAGATCTAGTAAATTGTTTTTAACTATATTTATATAATCTATATGATAAATGGTAATAAATTAAATACATTTTTAATTTATCAATCCAATCAACGAGTAAATATATAATAAATTAAATACAATGGCGTCAACTTTCCCCTGCTCCTCTGCCATTTTTTCTGTAAACTTTTAGAAGTAATCAAAGAATAAAAGAATACAGTGAAAATTTCCCAACAAAAAGTTTAATAATTATTACAGCTAACTTGTCAGTTAAATGCAATTCATTTTCAACATTTCCAATCACAACTAAGGCACTTACATTTTGAAATTAAAGCAATCCAACAGACTCGCTAATAACATATTGTGTCATATTATGTAATAAATATTGCTTGCTTTGAAATTAAAACAAAGAAACATGCAACATTCAAATATTATTATTCCTCTCATTATTACAAGCTTATTCGTAAATGAAACTTAAGCTTGCCTTTGAAAGAGGATGAAATGGATTGAAAAAACACACTACTTTTTGATAGAGAGTTAAAAGATGGCATGCCACACAAATATCAGCAAGAGTAATTCGTTCTCCGACAAGGTATGTTCTTCCAGCAAGATGTTGGTTCAGCACTCCTAATGCAAATTTTATGTCTTCTTTTGCTTTGTCTGTGTTCTGAAGAATAAACAAATATATAATAATTAACCGATAACAAATGATAGTTTACTTAAATAAAATTATTTTGAAATTAAAAAATGAATGGCTTTATCCAGCAAAGGCTGTAAAGTTTTAACAAATATGTACATTTATCCAGAGACATGAAATTCAACGGAATAAAAAGCAATTACATAACTCTAAACAAAAGTTGTTATAATCATAAAATAACTTGTCCATTGATGCAAAAATATGAAAAATGATGAGATGATCGATGACTTAAACCTGTTTGTTGTATTGGAGGATGCCGATGATTGGAAAGATCCAGGTGCAGTAGGCAGGCAGGATATCATTGTCAGCAAAGTCAAGCCATTGCTGAATGCATGCAGCATCTGAAACATTCAAACCTCTCAAAACTTCATTTGCAACAAAATATGCTATAGCATTGCTTTTGAACAACAAAGTTCCATCATTTCCCTGAAATGCAGGCACCTGTGCAGAAAATAATCGTATTTCAAAATTTCATATTGTGAAAATTAACGAGTGACTTCCCATATGCTAAACAAAACAACAAATTTTCATTTACTTTTTAAATTCAATTCAATTTTTGAGAACTTGAACAAAAAAGTATAACACATTCAAAATGCCGCATAAAACTAATTACGAGATTTTGTGTAGAACATAGCATGATCATTTTTAAAATTTTTTCAAACTGTTATGTTCAAATCAATTTTAGAGCATCCATATTAATTTACACCCAAAAACATATTGTACATTACAAATGCAATATAAAATTAATTTCTTACTGGTTTATTGTAAATTCTGGTGCTCAAAAATAATTATTTTTAATATTATTTATCTTCATTTTTTCATCCGCCATACAAAGTACCTTCTGAAATTATTCATGTAGACCCTGGACTTATTTGTATTAAAATAAGCAGGGGAGACCAAGCACCCTTGATAGCAAGGCACCCTTGATTCTATAACGTTTTTACATTACTTACTTATTAAATCGAATCGAGCAGGGTACCATTTTTTTGAAAATATTAACTCCACCCATATCCTGTGTTTTCATCCATTTTGGAATTGTAATTACGACGTTATCGATAAATTTAACTTTTAAAGGTAAAAAGTAATTTTTTTTCAGTGTTAGTATGAATGCTTTAGCTAACATAATTATGCAGTGTTTGTGATGTTTTTTTATACCATTTTGAAGAGAATTCATTCTAGCTTAATGCATTTGTTTTTCATCAACAGGAATGCCTTCTAGCTTTTTACACTTGATTCATTTTGTAAAAATGGCGATTGTGGCACCCTTGACAGCAACATGCACAAGCACCTTTGATACCGTGCCACCAAAATAAACTATTATATTCTTGATTATAATAAGTGAAATTGACTTAATTGTAACATATACCTTATAGTGCTTATATATTATACATATAGCATTAGGTAATCGTTGCATTCTGTATTAAAAAAATATTATTTCAAATTATTATTGTCTTTTTATTTTGCAGAAATTCATCATGTCATACCACAAAAAACGAACAACAGATAGACCACAACGAGATCAAGTACCAGAAATCGAGATGAGGGCTGCAGTTGCAGTTGTATTAGAGGGTCAGACAGTATATGGTGTTGCTAAAGAGACTGGCATTAATGTGATGACTTTAAAAAGGTATGTAAAGAAAACTCAAGCAGATCCCAATACGATTTGCCGTCCGAATTACGTGACCAATTGATATTCACAAATGACAAAGAAAAGTCGTTTTCTGAATACCTTTTATGCGCAGCAAAGCTTCATTATGGTTTGTCAACAAAGACCACCCGAAAATTGGCTTACGAATTCGCTATTTCACTTTCCAAAGATGTTCCAAAATCGTGGCGTAGCAGGGAGTCTGCTGGACCAAGTTGGTTTCAAGGAGTTATGTCCAGGAGGAAAAAACCGTCATTACGGTGCCCAGAGGCCACCAGCTTAGCATGTGCAACCGCCTTCAATCGTCATACAGTCAATAAATTTTTTGATAATCTAAAAGAAGTGCGGACTAGACATACATACGCACCATAGAACATTTAGTGCCCCTGTTGAACGCCTTTTTAGCTATGGTTCTTTGGTACTCACCAAAAAACGCAACAAACTTTCTGACAATTTGTTTGAAAAACTATTATTATTAAAAATTAACAAAAGTTAATTTTTATTAATTACTGTTAATTTTAACTTTACAGTGAAAAAAGATTAAGTTCTTTCTGTTGAATAGGTTGGACTGGAACTTAATTTTTTTTTATATTGAGCTGACGTTCTTACGTTTAAAGGTTATTTAATTGTCCGTGCAAATTGTGTCTCAATTAAATCATCTTTTAAGAGCAGTATTTAAAAGTATTTAAATACTGATGTTCAGTATTTAGTATTTAAAAAAATTTGTCCAGTATTTAGTATTTATATAGTATTTAAATACTCAAAAAATTGCAAAGTATTGGAAAGTGTTTAAATACCTCATGACTGAGTATTTGTCACAACGCTGGACCTACTGAATATGAGTGACACAGAAAATGACAAAGTAGAAGGTAAGCAAAATGAAGATGATCACGATGACAGCAATTACGGTTCCACAAACATTATTACCCTTCATCTGACAGTGCTGATGATGTTGACCTTGGGGCATCCAACATTGACAATGAAGGTGATGATCATCTTAAAAATTTAAAATCAGGCGACTATGTCATTGTCCAGCTGAAGACTAAAAAATGGGTTTCACTATGTGGCTCGGATTGACAAACCAGCAGATGATGACGAAGATGTTGGACATAGATTGCATCAAAAACTTTCAATCCAGAGTATTGAAAAAGTTTCAAGAAAATTCGTAGTCTCAATATTTTGGGAAACAGCAAGGATCGTGTTGGAGTATTACACTGACAATGAAAAAAGTCAGGAAACAGGAATGGAAGGAAACAGCTGAATTTATTTTGTTGATTACCAAATTTGTTATAAAGGAAAATATAAAGAAATTCCAAAATGGACCCAGTAAAATCACTACGACAGAAAATTGGATAGGACAGGATATTTAGTCGGGAAACATTTCTTGAATTGAAACAAACTTGTTTGGCTCTTGTCGACTGTTGGTGGCTAGAGCAGCCATGAGTGAAATGCTATCAGATGGAGGAAAGGTGTAGATATAAGAATCATCAGCATATAGCTGACTAGCAAAAGAAAAATTTTTAATAATGCGAGCTAATAGGGATTAACAAGGAAACTGTACTAAGGAAAATAATGATTAATAATAACAAATTGAGTGATTGACTTAAGTTGAAACAGTAGCTAGTTTGTAAATTATTTTTGCGTTTTAAGTATATAATAGATATAATTATATATAAAACAAAAAAAGAAAAATATAAATAAATATAATATAATAATAGTAACATATAATAAAAGATAATATAATTTATATAATATATAACATAATATATATTATTTTTAATTATATCGTTGCTTTTCTACATCATTGGTAGAAGGAACTTAAGTGTCGCTTTTTTAAACTGACAACTAAAAATAGACACTGCTTGGAATACCCAGTGCTGATCTCCGATTTTACCAGGATTGTCATAAAAGGAATTCATATTTTACCTGACATTTCCATAGAAAAAACATTAAGATTAATAATTTTTAGCTATACATATATAACGTATCAAATGTAACTACAATTTTTAGTTTCATATCAAATGTAAATGCTCTGGCACTTTGAATTTTAAAGTTAAGTTTCATTTTTATCAGTTTGTTGTTGCTATCAGTTTCATAAGAATGAATTTAATAAGTTTTTTATTAATTATTCATTAATAAAAATATATTATTGTTATTATTTTATATCACATCCTATGCACCGCTTCAGAGTCGCAGGAATAAAAAATGATTTTTGATGTTCTGGTAGGCCTGGATAAACAAAAAGCTTAATCATGTTTCGTAATGTAATAAGTTTGATGGCTGGTTGTTGAATTGTAAAACGTAAAACCAACCTTTCCAAGCGGAAACTTTTTCAAAAATTCCTCCGATTTGTTGGTTTCACCAATCACAAACTCGGGAGGATCAGAGACCACTTTCACTTTCGCACCGCTATATTGAGCCGCAATGAGAGCTTTGAAAGCTCTGAAGTTGTCGTGATACGTGTAGAGGGTCTGAAAAAACAAAAAAGAAATACAAATCAAAGGGCAGCATTATTTTTTTTTCTTAGATTCGTTGTAGAAAAAAGGATCATTAATTAAAAGTCAGATTGAAATCGCATCTAAACAAAAATTAGCTTACACCGCCAGACATCTCGCCGACAAGGAAAGCAAAAGACTCTAGAACGAACGGAAACAACCAAATAAGTTGTTTTAAAATCTGCATTCGATTAACACAAGTTGATTATTTTTTCAATATCTAATGAAGTTATATTCCACTGTATTTTATGTGTAATTCAATTTCTAATAAGTCATCAAATTTTTTTCAAGTTTTTGTAAAATTTGAAATGATAATATGTTGTATCACGTTTAGTGCAGATGCTACCCCTATATGGTTGCATCATATTCAAGTTGTACTTTTAATTCTTCTGCTCCAGACCTGTAAAAATTCATGATCATAAAACAAGCTGTGTAAAAACGGTAGAAAAATGGCATTAGAAAACAAGATCGTGGTGATTTGGTGGAAGGCCTGTAATGGTCTAGTTGCCGAAAGGGTAGTTTACCGCAGATCTTACTTTGAACATTTTTCAGCAACTGACAGCATAATTTATTGTTTGAAAACTTGCCTTCAAATGAAATTTCAGAAGCCGAACTGAAGTCTTGGCAAGACTACAAATATGGCAAGTATTCAGCAAGTTATGTGAATGGTTTAAAAAATATCAAACTTAGACAAAAATCAGATAGGGTATAATGCATAAACTGAACAGAAAACATATTGAAAATAGATAACATTTACAGAACAATCTTACGGTAAGGTTTTTGTCGGGTTCGCCTACAAGTTTCAAATGGAAAACATTTGTCCTTTGTAAAACTGCCTGACAAATGGGGATGGCGGCTACTTGATGGACATAACGATTCTTAGGCACGGATCTAGATGTTGCCCCTGCAGAATTTGTTAATGCAAAAAAGAAATAAGGCATCAGTTGGAAACAATGAAATAGGAAAGGCTGACCGTGGAGGCGTAGCTAAAGGGAAAAGCTTTCGGAATGGAGTTATTCACAATTAAAAATTTAGGTAAGGTTTAAGATAAATTAAAAAATCTTCATGTATATTTTGGCTGGAAACTGTTTCAGCTTCCCTAACTACAGTAAAATATGGAAAAATTTTAGATTTAATAGATTTAATAGAAAGCTTTAGAAAAAATATGGAATGATCCTAACAAAAATAAAAAAAAGAGCCGACCTTTTTAAAAAAATCCAAACACCTCACAAAAAATTTCCTGCTTTGCCAGTAGTTGACCCCTCCATGGATATATGAAGAAGTAGAGCAGTTTTCATGTTATATTTGGATAGTGTGAATATTTTTGATTTAATTTTGTAATAAACGTAAACATTTTTTTCACTGTTTGAAATGTTCGCAAACCACTTATTCATTAATTAAAACGCTGTCTTAAACTATGGCACGATGCTTTTGCTGATATTTTCTAAATTATTTCCAATGTTTTTTTAACTAAATTTTTTCACTTTAAATTTTTTGTCTGCCGTATCTTTCTATCCAAATATTTTGTGATAAATTATTTCACTTATTCTTCTATCCATTCTCCTAATGATTCATAAACATTCAATTTTTCTTTTGTCCAGAAGATTTCCACTCCAAACCCTTTAACTCCCTTTCTACTTAAGTTGCCATTTTTTTGTTGACAGGCGTTTAAAAATAGAATTCCAATGATTTAAGCATGGATATATATAATATCCATGGATTTAAGTCATTGTTTTGCACAAAATATTCTGTTCAGTTATGTTATGTAATGTAACGTTATCCAAGTCCATGAATGCTTGAATGGCAAACCTGCCGCCTGTTGCAAAACGCTTGTTCGGTATCCCCTTCCTCCTTCCAGATTGAACGAAATTTTTTTAATGAACACAGTAATTAAATGAAAAAATAATGGTGTGCAATAGAAAAAGACAATTTATTACTTTTGAAAGGCAATAATACTCCTTGGAAATTTGTTAAAATAAAATTGTTTATGACATTTTCTATACGCCGTGATAAATGTTTTTTAATAATCAATTTTGTATTTTAATATTTTAATTAATAAGTACTATCCGCATATTTTATTTGCTTTGAGGATGCAAAAGCATGCATTTATTTAACTTCTAATTTTTATCTCTCCACGCTTGAAAATGCCATGTCACTTCAGGTGTTCTTGTCCCATTGTTGATCTTAAATTGGTTAAATTAGTTTAAATCTACTGAACGATCGTTTACAACTTGCAATCAATACTGATATAGTAAAAACATATACATAGAATATATAGAATGTTATCCCATTATATATGGGTAAAAAGTATTTGGAGTGTCACTTTCAGGTTTTGAAAAATTTCTTCCGCATTGGAAATATTGAAGTCAAGAAGCTCTATTGGCGTTTTATTATATAGGTTCCATTTCTCCTATTACAGTGTAACATTTTTAAGTCACTTTTTTCTAAATATTCAAATCTGTATTATTAAACTTGACAAACATGCACAACTCTTTTGAAGACCATTGTTAACATAATCTTTTTTCAATAAATTTTCTACATGCAATAAAAAACCAAACTCGGAGTTGAGATCGCATAGTCCCGTAAATCCTCTACCTATTTCTTGGCATACCTATGTATTAAAATATATACATAATATAATAAATAACATTACAAAGTATTTCACAGGTTGGGTAGGTAATTAAAATAATAATAATATTTTTTGTTGTGATACTGCAAATATTTTAGAAAATCGATTTAACAATAAAGTAGAAAATTTCAATCAAAATGTTTTATGAGAAAAATAATTCTACTCTTTTCGATTTTTAATATAATAGTTCGGCAAGAAGTAGCGGTAGCGATTTTGTCACTTCTTTTTCATTTAAGTAGCTATTGCGGTTACGGAGGTACATTTTACCATTTTACTTGCGACAGTGGTAGTAGCGATAGCGGCTTTTCTTTGTTATGAGTAGCGTTAACAATCTTTTGTTTTTTTGATTAAAAAAATATATTTTAAAATAACTGTTAAAACTTACAAATATTGTTATTAAAAAATGGTGATATGGGAGCCGATTAGAAAATTACAAATAGGAAGTAAAAAATGATGCGTTTGATCTCTGGAGCCGATTGAATCCACCTGGCTATGGATAAATTTTTATATAAGATGATTCAATTAATATATAGTTACAATTACTTTTTTTATATCTATCTATTAGATTTAATACAAATTTGATTTTGAGAATTTGGCTTTTAATGAAAAATTGGTTTGGCAGCGCTGTAGCGTTTGTATCTTTTTCCGGTGTCGCTTGGAATTTTTTTTTAGTGTTAGTTTTTTGCCGATTTTTGGTTGTTTTATTTGATGTACGTTTTCGTAAAAATTACATTTATATTACTTTTTCTAAACTTTTGATTTTGATACTTTTAATTCCGATATTGGGTTTTTATCGAAACATACGGAAATCGGTATACACGTTGAATTGTTTGATTTTGTTGATTTTTGATTCTTAATTTTTTCCATGATTGGCCAATAATCATTGATTAAAAATTAAAAAAACAAAATCAATGTGATTATTATAAACTACGAACATTGTTGCGTTGGCATGATGTTCAATGGTTCGCTGTTTACTTGTTTCACTTTAAGACTATATAATAATGATAGGAAATGATCATGTGGGTGAAGTTAGCCAAAGATTTTGTGATTCAAATTCCTTCTGAATTCTATGATCAAATGTAACCAAATATGATCAAATTCGGTCAAATATGATCAAATTTGGTCAAATATGATCAAGCGCAAAATTCTGTCAGAATATCAGAAATTTTTTCATATTTTCAATCATAATTGACTTTTTGAATGCCTTTGGAGAGTAAATACAGAACATTTACTTTCGCTGTCAGCTATTGTATTGCCAAGTCTATCTATTACATACCTGCTAGCAGTGCTACATCCAAAAAACTATTTTCATAATCTGGCAATGTTATTGATTAATAGCTGCCGATTTTGCCTTGATCTTGAAAATATGCACATAATTGTCACACAATATGTAGTTTCTGAAAATAATAAAATAAAGTATAGCTAGAAAATTTTTTGATAAATTTTGTAATTTAGATACACAAATTTTCTGCATTGTTAATTTCTTCACTTGCATTTTAATTTTATTCAATATCGTATCACTTGTAATTTATTATGTTGAATCTAATGTTTTTATAAAATTGTACAATATTGGTTAAAGTTTTTAATATAGTTAAATTTAAATATTGTAAATCATTTTTTTTTAGTCATAATGTCAGAGAGAGATTACAGCAAGTTAACAGTAAACGTTTTAAAGGAAGAGCTGAAGAAGCGTGGCCTGGATCAGGCTGGGAAGAAAGCGGATCTTGTGTCAAGATTGGAATCAGATGACTGTGAGTTTTTTTCATATATATTTATCTTTCCGTTAATTTAAAGACTTAAGCTTCATTTATTCAGTTACTCTTATTACTACTTTAGTAATAATAATAATAATAACATAATTATTATTCATATTATTTGTTTTTCAAGAATTGTTCAAAGTTTGCAATTTTCTAATAACTGAATCTCAGATAAAACAAATTTTTTGTATTTTACATCAAAACTTGTTCATATTTAAAAGAATCTTGATAGAAACAATTGCTAAAACTTGCAAGCTTATTTATTCATTAAATTGATGCTTATATATTTTAATGATTTTTTTTTTAATAAATTTTAAAGTGTCCCAACCTAGACAGATAAGTGCTATCATCTCATAGTTTTTAGGCAAAATAACCAAGTAGGATGATCATAGATCTTGTTCTTTCCTGCAGTAAAGTTAAACTTGGTTTTGGAAAGCATCGTTGATCATCCTTATACAGTTTGAGACTACAAATTTTCATTAATGTCATAAGTAGAATAATTCAATAGAATGTCTGGATGCCTACCCATGATTAAACATGCAGCACCACTAATCTTATTATAATTTATTACTGTCATTATTTTCATTTTGCATCTTACAATAGTGGAGTTTTTTCTTACTAAAAGTGGTATATAAAGTTCACTGAGAAAACTCAAGTTTGCCACTTCTAATCAGATATTAAGTCTTGTATCCACAGTGTTTAATTTCTTATTTATTTATTTATCTATTTATTTATTTATTTTTTGCAAATGACATGTTTTCTATATTTGGTTTCTTGCTTGTTCACAGCATTGTTCACAGAATTTATCTATTTGATTTTCAGTCTTTCAATTTACATTTCTATATTGAATTCAACCTCTCTAATTGTGTTAAGAATTTTTGGTTTGTCTTTCTATCGTTCATTATACATGTTATATTATGACAGTATGCTGTAATTTCTATTTCTAAACAGAAAGTATTTTTTTAAATAAAGCTGTCATTTTAAAAATTGCCTCAGAATCTTGCTATTAGATGCAAAAGAATTGTGTTACCACAATTCTTCAGTAGATAACATCCTACTCTTTTTTTTACCTACCTTTTTTTGAACTGTAAACTGTTTTTTTCTGATGCATTTAAACCTTTTCTAGCTAGTTGTTCTGCCAAATCTACTGCTTCACTCCATCTTGGTATATGATCCAGCTGCCAATTATCATGAGAAACCTTTGCAAATCTTTTTTTTGCAGTCTTGCCATTGAGTGATGCAAATTATACTAAGAACAAACAAGTTATATATACTGTATTTTATAACCATTGTAATCGAATTAGAAAGTGTAAAGTTGTATAAAGCAAAACAATCTTTACCTTTTCCAGTGAACAATTCCATGTTGAGTGAGAGGATTTATTTAAATGAAGATACTACCGAAGGTAATTTTTAAAATATGTTCTTCCATTCAAATTTTATATTTTTTATCTGATTTATTAGGTTACGTAAATTTTTTCATAAAATTGTAATAATGTTGATTAAAATAATTGAGTAACTTTGCACATTTTTTACAGTGTTGATGCTATTTACTCTAACAATGTTTTAGTCCAACTTGTACATATGCATATTTGTCCCATAATAATACAGATGGATGTCTTTGCTGTAGTGTAGTGGCTTATTTACAATATGATGTTATTACTGGGTGTGATGAGTTATTATTTAGCAGGTGGAAGCAGTGTACATTTGAGCTGCTAACAGTGGTGAAAGTATTAGTGTCTACTATATATTCTTGTAAACAAATGAAACAAATTTTATACTGTACAAACTGTCCACACATTTTTTTTTATTAAATTTATTGCCAACAAACAAGAAGAATATATATAGCTGACTTTTAAGACAAAAATTAGCTTTAATTAAACTAGAATTATTAGGAAAATAAAGTAATTATGTTAAACTAGACACAATTTTTCTCAGTTAAAAGTTTGCCTCGTCCCACCTCGGGGGAACTGGGTCTCGGGACACTAAATGAAGATTGTTTGATTGATTGATTGATTGATGAGTTAAAAATTTGCCTCGTGTGACAATGTGACATTGTTTAATTTTTTTAAAGTTATCTATACAGTTTTTCCAAACTATGAAAAATATTTTACAGAGGCTGATGAAGCAGCTGGTCAAACATCTGCTGAGGGAACAAATGAAGGTATCTACCATAATTCAATGCAATTCAATAATTCTTTTATTCAGCAAACACATGCGGAAAAAACATGTTATTCGCTTGGAGACCCGAAGCTCGCACTTGTAGGGCCACCCAGATCAAATAAAGACAAAATACTTCTTAATAAACAAAATACTTCTAAATAAACATAAGTAACAAAAGAAGAGTCTCAAAAATCCATACACACACATACACGCAATTATATCCATTCACTTATTTAACTAATCAAATCATCCATCCATTTTTCCATTACACTATATATATATATATATATATATATATATATATATATATATATATATACAATATGCAATTATTGATGAAAATCACAGTCGTGCTGTGATTGCATTTATGATTGTCCTAATCCAATATTTATTAAAAAACCACGGACTGGATGTAACATCATGGACGACCACGATGATCGACTGGAACATGAACTTAACATGCTGCGATTTTCATCAATAATTGCATTTTTGGCAGTTTTAAATCCAATATGTATATATGCATGTATATAATAATATATGCATGGGTTTTAATTTTTGAACTTCATGTCATTCATGTGTTATCTTTTAAAAGTTTTTACTCTGTTAGCAATTTTTCTGAAAAGAAAATCATTTAAAATATTTACACACATAGTGCAAAACAACACAGTTTAGCAAAATAAACTGTTTTTGATAAATGCAATTTTATGATAAAAATGTGAAAAGAATTAAAAAAGTAATGAAAATTGGTGGTTACAAAGTTAAGGATGAAAGAGTATAGAAAAGTTTTTTTAAATCTTCATTTGTTTGGAATTTAATTTTTTGATCGTTTTAACAATTTTTATATTTTGTTTGTTTAATAAGTATGTTTTTTTTAGATCCAAAAGAAGATTGCATCGAAACGACAACTGAAGTAATGAATGAAGGTTTTGCCAAATTTAATTAATTTGTTAATAATGATTTTTTTTCATTATATTTAGTATAATGTCATTAGCATGTCATTAACTTGGATAACCATTTATTAGCTTGAGCATGTGGTGTAGAGAGGTTGTATATCGATATGCCGACATGATTTTGTAAAACTAAAATAAAAGTGTAGTATCAGATTGTAGATAATTCTCACATTTGAAAATGTATCCTCTCGTGGAAATAGAAATAGACATATTAGTGTAATTTTAATTTTTTTTCCATTTTTACAGATAAAGATTCCACAGATGATTCTTGTACAATGGATCAACCCATAAAAAATGAAAATGTCTCCTTGACACAAGAATATTCTGGTGATCTTGACTCTTCAACTCAACATCCAGAAGAAAGCCATGTAGATGATAATTCATCATTTTCAGAAGGCATGAAGGAAATATCTGAAAGCAAAGAACATGCCTTTTTATCTCAGAGTGATTTTGAAAGTAAAGAACAAACCCTACCTAAACAGCAGAGTGATGGTGATGCTGAGACAAAATGTGAAGATATGGGTGAAGATATGACTAAGATTCCCGAGGAACCTCAATCCAACAATGAAACGTGTGCCAGTAACCAAAAGGAAACAGTTGAAGAAATGGAAACGAAAGAATCGGCTGATCCTGCTGCTGCAGAAGAAGACAAAAAAGATTCTAAACCTAACGCAGAAAATGATGTTCGAATTGCTAACGAATATTGCATTGAAATGAAAAGAGACAGTAAATGAATTACTTTTTTTAAATTATGTATTAGCTTTTATTATAACAATAGTTTTTTTTATGTTCAATCCAGAAGATGAATTTCAGCTAAAATGGAAAGGAAAAAAGTTTTCTGTCCCATTCATTGGTGAAATCGTTCTAGGTTAGTCAAAGTGCAATAATTCTATCTACATCCATCATTGTTTTATCAATTTCTTCTTTGTTTATTATGGATAATTGCTAAAATTTCAAATTGTTTACTCTGTGAATTTTTGATGTGATTCGAACTTGTTTCATTGTACCATCTGCTTTTGGTTAGTCTTCTAGCAACAGTTCTAAATGCGGTGAGATTAGGGTTAGGATTTGGAAAATGACACTTGCGTTGCTTCAGCTCTGTTCTTGAGGCAATTTAAAAATTTAGAGTGTTTTAAATTTACTTGAAATGTACATACTTAGGCAGACGAGCATGAAAGTAAATCATTAAAATGTGGCAAATAAGAAAATGAGGCTAATATAATAGTAGAATAGAAAAAAATTAAAGAAATTATTTTTGCTTGAAATGCTTAACTTTTCTGTTGGTAGATCTTGCTAGAGAGATTTCAAGCAGAAGTTTTCAAGTGAAACAAATTGAACTGAAAGATTTAAAAAGTTCCTGTTTTGATGACGTAATTAATGAATCATTAAAATTCCTGGTTGATTTCCAGAGCAACATACTTGATTCATCAAAAGTGGGGTGAGTTTGAGATGATTTTTAAAAGATATGTGTTGACATATATCCTGTAAAATATGTTTGTATTTTCAGGTTTGCTAAATTTGTATTCAAAAGTGTTGAAGAATGTGAAAAACACAAGAATGCTTTGAAGGGCTACAACGAGAACATAATCATTGAATCTGTGAAGTTTGAAGGCAGGAGTTTCATAATTTTGAAAATTCTTCAAGTGTTTTATTTAGATACGTTGTAAATATTTTGCCATTGTCTAATTCAACTTGATGTAACCAATGATGTTTTCCTATTAATTTATTGCATCAGGATCCTTTGTTTAATTGTTCTGCATGAACTAGTAGAAGTACAAACTGTTCATAATATCTTTTATATCTGCTGATGTAGACTTGATAATTTTGTCAATAAGAAGATATTAATCTAGTTTGAGAAAAATTGTGATTAAAGACTGTGCTAATATTGTTTATTTGAGGAAATTCATTTTTCTGGACTATTTATTTAAACTAATCATTGTGGGCTATTTAAATATTTCTCATTAAATATGTTGTCTGTTATAACTGATAGGAAATAGAAAAGAATATAGTTTTAGTGGAATATTTGATGTCTGCCATTTAGGGCATTCAACTTGGGCTAATAGGTTTTCAATAATGAACTTTAACTCAACATTTCAGACCAGTTGATGCATCAGTTTCTCAACAAGGATCCATCTTTTTACAAAGGTTATCAAATTTCTTAGATTATTAAACATTATTTAATTTTAATTTGTGAAAAAATATAAGGAAATATTCAATATGAATTATCGATGGCCTTTTATGACATGGTGATTTTTAAAGTATACCAGTTAATGCTTAAGATTAGTTATAGCACAGTCAAGCCCTCTTAGTTGGAATGCCACAGTTCATATGGCTCTTGTCAAATATGACCTATGTTTGCTCTGTTACTAGTTTATCTTTGATTTAATATAAAATAAAAATGGACAAATAATTCAAAGGATTACTACCAAATCTAGAGGTTACATGAAAAAAACGAACTATTAATATAAATCTGTTCAAGTATTTTTGCAGTAACACATAATTTACTATAATTTCAATTCTTTTATAACCTTCATCAAACTGACTTGAATTGTAGAAATTTTTATTTTTGAAGAACCCAGTTTTTTTTTATTTGTAAACAATTTTAATTATAAAACCGAAAATATATGTTATAATTAAATTGATTTTTTCCAAAGTGTAATCTGAATCAACGTTTTAATGTTTTTCTACTATAACATAAACACTGCAATACAGCGGTATCTGGATATATGATTGCATTATTATGTACCCTGTCTAGAATGGGTTGAGCTGCAGAAATGTTGAAAATTAATGTGCGAAATCCTAGCTTGAACCTGATCAGCAGTTGAATAAAAACACTAAATATTACTGCTGAGATAAATCAACTGCATGGAAACAACACATTGTTGGAATGTGTGAGGTATGTATGAAATTGAGCTTGTGAAAGAAAGCACGACCAATTAGTTTCAATAATGAAATAATTAAAACAATGAAGAACAGCGTGAAAATATAAAATTACGACACTTGTTAAAAGAGCATATTTTTTTTAGATTGATTTGAATGGAATAAATTATTTTGTAATTTAATTTTTTTTTTAAATTAATGTAAATTATTTTTGAGTTGGTTGCTTGGTTCAGCAGCAATTGAGAGTCTTCTCAGCATTGCAGGATAAGTTTTACTGAGTTGAAACCATGTTGATAAAATGATCTTTTTGAGAGGCTCTCTTAAAAACGGATTTTAATTTTAGATTTTTAAAAATTGTTATACTATGTGAATAAAACCTTGTAAATAATTGTCTATTTGTCATTTATATAAAAAAAAGTACATTTGTTCAGTTCAAGACAAATTCTAGAAAATCAGAATTCACACAGACTGGGCTAATTACTGGCCAAGCCTTAACATGTGTAGGACCTTAAATGGTATATGAGCAAAATATATCAATGAAAATAAGTCTGCACCAGCAAAGAAATGTCAATAAAAATAGCTGCAAATTAATGCAAGATGCAATCCAAGTGGTAAAATTTACTCTATAAATATCTTACCCTTTAGGATATATATCAAAATTCAAAATATTCCAACTAAGTTGGGCTTGGGGGTAAAATGTTTTTTTAATTCACTTGAAATTTATGCCTTTGTATTATTTTTATATTGTATCAATTATATTAATTTAATTTTTAAAGATAATTTATTAATATAATTAATTAATAGTTTAATTATTTTTAAAAATATATTTTAATTAACTTTTCTTATCTTCTCCTGTCTTCTTCTTTACTAACCCTGTTCTTTTTTCTCAAATTTCTTTTTTTTAAAATACAAATTGAAACAGAATAAAATGCAATTTTGATGATTTGGTGATTAAAGTTGATAGGTTAATGTGATCATGGTGGTTTATTGTTACAGGCTCAATTGTTGATCGTCTGCTCTATGTTGGCAATTTGCCATTCGATGTAACTCAAAGTACAGTGGGGGATCTATTTCCTGGTGCATTACGTCTTATTTTTCCTCCACTTAAGGAAATTGATCAAAGCGTCAATACAGCCCGGTAAATTTATGGGCTTGTATAGCCCTAGTTTGAAATGACATTTGTTTATTAGATGGAACATATGCTTGCTCCATACTTCAATTTTTAATTATTTTAAAAGATGATTTTAAGTCACAGTAAGTGAAGTTATGACATTTTGCTTCTTCATTATATCCCTATCTACGTCATCGTCATTCTGTTACCTTCTTCGTTTTTACTTAATTCACATTCCGATCTACTGCAAACTCATTTACTATGATACTTCCATCTACAAAGACGGCTGTTTCAAATTATGGATTCTAGATTAAGCTATAACAACGTCTAATGGTTATTGTAGGTATGTCTATCTGGAGTATGAATCAGCTGAGGAAGTCACCAAAGCTGCCGAAAAGTACAAGGATGTCGTTCTAAATGATGAAAATCTTTTTGTCATTAAGGCTCTTTGTATCAAAAAGGAACGCTTCGGTTAGTGTCTTTTTTATTGATTTTTTATGATGATTTGCTATTTCACAAAATCTTGCTTAATATTGCACTATAAAACGTATTAGACATGTGATTATGGCCAATATTGCTGCTATTCTCGGTCGATGTCTAATCCTATCAAGGGTTAGGCTTTTGCAATTCTATCTTATGAAAAGCTTCCCACTCATCTAAAAAAAGTACAGACCATTCAAAACAAAACTACCAGGCGGATTCTTAACAAATCTCTCTCAAACTTTCCTATTTTTCATCCAATGCTTTACTGGCTTCCTGTTTCTGCCCAAACCATGTTAGCCATCAAAATAATATCCATTATTTCTACCCAACCTAATATTCCACTGTGAATATGCCAGATTGCTCCAAGGATTGTTGGCGAATTTCTTAATCATTGTCAAATCCCAACTTTTGGGCCACAGCTTTTGTCGTGTCGCATTGGTTCTTTGGAACGGATTACCTATTTGCTGAAATAATGTTCCTTTCTGAGTCTCTTCAAGAAAACTTATTTTTTGCGGTATGTATACATGAACACCTCTGAAACATAGATTCATACGACTCCATGTGAATATGACATATAATTATAATTATGTTTAGATGCTTTGAGATGTATCGAATTTTTTTCTAGGGACTCAGAATCTTATTTATTATTTTGCCAGAAATTCACCATGTTTTTGTCCGTTTTCCAAAATAGAATAGCATTCTAACATTATTATAAAAACCTTTCTCTTATCTTTTTTAAATTCATGAGACTTTCAAAAATGTTGCGTTTGCTAAAAAGTGAAACAAATATGGATTTAATTTCTCTTACTTCAAAGTACAAGTTGCTTCTTAATTAAAAACTGTCATTGAAATGTAAACGATGAACAGTTGTGGTTCAAAGAAAGACTATACAATTTTTTGAACGTTTTAAACATTGCACGCTTTAATTGTTGTTAATTTCTTCATTTCATCTGTCTATTTTATAATAAACCTGAACTTTATTGCTGAAAGAAAAACTAAAGGTAATGGTTAAACGCTAATTATATTATTTAGAAAACTGTTTTTGCACATTTCAAGTGTTACACTAATAAAAGTGGGGATATGAAAGTTTTTAAAATAAATTGGAAGTCTCCAACTGCACAACCTTCAATTTCAACTCTTATATTTCATCTTTTTGTAATGGATATTTCTTATTTGTTAAAGGATTGCTAACTGACACTCTGAGGATGATACTGTTGGATAAAGTGCGCAAGTTAAAAAAAATACAAAGAACTCCATATGGAAAGAGTCGCCAGGAGTTGCAAGAAGTTGAAAAAGTATAAAATTATTTTATTGTAAAATTGTAAATTTTCAAACGTTAACTAATAATTTCATTACTTACAGTTTGAAAAATCTTTGTCTTTATAAATATTAAAATTTTTGAAATACAAGTTTTTTTGAAACTGTTGATATAATCAAGATGTCCTGGTTATGACATTAAACTTACCCTCACTGCCTTGTGAGTGATGTTGGATCATCAAAGGCTAGGCCTACTGCTTATAACTGTGGTTGCATAAGGAAGGGCGTCCTGTGTAAAAATTAGCCAAATAAATTACTTATGATGGAATGGCGTCGAGGGATATTTCGGTTTCGTCATAGGTAGCCAAACGGCAACCCCCGATCTCGGGGAAAATGTCGTCTAAACGTGTGTTGTTTGTTGTTGTTGTTGATATAATCAAGATGTCAAGATGTTTTGAATGTGAATAGTGGTTTGTGTATAAATAAGGTGTACTTAGTTTGTTCTGGGGATAAAAGGTGGGATGAATAAGACACAATAAATTAAAAGTAAAATATATTTGTGTTTTATTTATGTAAATGAATATCTGTTTAAATGACAACGTTCAATGCAAATGCATATAAATGATTGTTACTCGGATGGAGGAAAGGTTTTGTTTGTTTGGTGGTTTGGAGATTGTGATGTTGCTGAATGATTGGAAACAAAAGTATAGATAACTCAAAGTTGTCTAATTCTGCTGGAAGAAATCTACTCTGTACTCTTAGTGTATGTGTACCCAAATTCAAACATATGGAACTTTGTTTTCATTACTCGCTCGTAAAATTTAACCACGTTTCGTAGAGAACTAGAAATGTTAGAATGGAGGTGATAGCTTGGCTCCATTCTTCAGCAAAAGAGGATAACATGTTTCTGTTTTTAGTTTATCTTGTTTCAATTTCATGCTTGCTAGGTTCTGGTACTTTTTATTGAGGATTTATGATTGATTATTAAATCTAAAACTTATGTATGCATATTCCTGTTGAAATAGTTCAGTGACTGGTAATATAATTTTTTAAATTTATACCTCAGGGGATATCATTGAATATGGATAAGTTATCAACAGACAGCAAGCATAGAAAGGGTTGGGGCATGGAGCTGGGCGCCCTGGACGAGGAAAGGATTGAGAAAGAAGAATTAGACAAACCTGACAACTCTTCTCAAAAAATGTTAATATCTTCTCACGTTTCAATCTCATATCTAATTGTTTCAGCAGTAAAAATCATACTTTATTTTTTTTAATTTTATATAAAAACAATTAAGGCATATTTTTTAATGTTTTTCCAAAATAATTGTTTTTTACATTTAACTACTGTAGGGGAGGAATGAGATCTAACCGAGGGGCATCTAGAGGTTCCTATGATTCGAGAAGGCCCAACTCCTCAAAGTTGATTCTTTTTAAATTTATAACACCGTTTATAAGTTGTTTAAATTGATGGCTTGTTTTTACATTAGTTGGAAATATTATTCATACTTAATTTTTTTTTTCAGATAAAAATTTTTTTTTATTTTGCTTTGTTTTATGTTTTGCCTCATTTTTCACCATCTGAAGCTAAAGACGTTTTTTGTTTGCTGAAAACAACTTGTACTTTTCTTTCCACAAGTCAACCTTGTAAAAGGTTGCGTGATTAGCGTTTAAGCATGAATCAACTAGCCGGAGGTAGGGTCCTATTCCCACTTTCCAGTTTACCAAACACCAAAAATCAAAATTACCAGAGTTTATGAAAAACACTTGTCATCTTGTTCCCTATCAGGATGCATGGGAATTGTTGGAACCAGAAGAACAATAATAAATTGAAACTAAACAACAATGTTTTTTTATTTGTTTTGTTATTTTCTATTTTATGCAAAATCTTTTCTGTTTCAATTGTTAAAATGTCAGTAGAGAGAATAAGTTTTTTTTATATTGTTATTTGCACAAAAATAAATTTAAGGTAGTTCAGTTTTTTTGCTATTTGTCATCAATTTCCAGTTCACTTGGAATTATTTCAAGTACATGTTAAACTTTTACCTTGGAAAAATTCAATACTACTGAGCTACTTAGAATTAAAAATTTGTAACTAGAATAAGGCATTGCTCTTTAGAATTTTTCTTAAGAGTAGTCTTTACCATGTGATTTTTATGCCTACAGCTTAGGCCAGCATCAAAGATATGGCAACGTGGGAAGTTATAACAACTACGGCAGCAACGCTATCCGACCAGGCTGGTCTGCAGGAAATTATTACGGTGCATCTGGTTTTGCCAACCATGGTTTCATGAATCAAGGATATTCACAAGGTTTGTTCATAATAAGTCTATGTCACTCCTTAGACAATTCACACCATCATTCATCACCCTATAAATAACCATTCCTCAAACAATTTACACGTTCATTTGAAATGTTTGATAGTTTTGAGGAAAATATTGAATTTACAATGTTCCTATGTTTCAAGCTAGTCCTAACACCACATTCTCTGTTTTTTAAATACTAATTTCATTTTACTTAGACCTTTAAAGGGCCCCGCACACAATCTGGTTTATGCTTAGGCTTGCCTTTGCAGGCAAATATGCAAGGGTTTGTCTGTACATATTTTGTCCACACATGTCACAGTCTTTTTCAAACCATATCAAGACAGACAGCAAAAAATGCATGCGGTATTTTTGTGCACATATTTATCCCTCAAACATAATAGTTGCTACTTCAATAACCTTAAGTTCATGCTTTGGAATCTTTCGACGTTGCCAAAAAGTGTCATTAAGTCTTCTTGTATCAGAATATGTGCTTGTATCAGAATATCTGCATTAAAGAGTAGGCATTTCAAACTTTCCGCAAAAATCCTTGGCTTATTAATGTTCAATATCTGATTTTAATGTTTGACAGTATCACAAGGTCAAACCAATGTTCATTTCTGGTTATTTGTTATTTTTTAGATGTTTCATTACCATATTGTTTTTTGCAACTGGTTTCTATTAGATATTTCGTTGCAATATTGGTTGATTTTATTTTTTATAGCCAATCCCTTTATATTATTTATTTATATTTGGTTTTTTAAATTTAATTTGATTTAATTTGTTACCTTTTTATTCAGTGGTTTACACGTATGCATCTTCAGTTATTTTCTAAATATTCTTTAGGGTATAATGCTCAGCACGGATCATTTTATGGAAACAAAAGAAAGGCTTCTGATAATTATGGTGGGGATTGGAAACGAGGCAGACGTAAGTATTAAAAATTATAAATGTGCGTGCATTATTGTGGCACATCTTTTGTACAGTGTTGTACTGTTGCAATAAAGATAAGCTGTGAAGGTTTTTACAAGTTTTTACTCATTCATTTTTCAACACTGCAACATAGGTTCTCTTTTTGATACTGTATGCATTTTACTTTTCAGTAGAAATGACTCTATCCCCCCGGTTTTGAACGATATAGTAAATTATTCTTTTTTTTTACTAATTGTTACTGATTTACAGCAATAGATGGTGGTCCTGCGAGGGATACCACCTAGAATAAATTACTTTATAATAATTTTAATAATAATTTATTATAATACTTAAGCATCTGCATCTCGAATATTATTCTTCTGCTCAAGCAAATTTCATGACAATACACGATTTCTTGTATTGTTATTGAAACGAGACAAAATTAATTCAAAAATATTTTGTTCGGAGATCTAAAGAGAGAAACATTTTCTCGTATCGTTATTATAAAGTCTCGAAACAATACAACCGTAAACAATTGTTTGAAGTAATGAATCTTTTTTTTACAAAAATCGTACTTTTCATTTAGTTTTATTTAAATTAATTTCTGCTTGTTTAAGTAAGATAATTCTTGTAAAGCAACTAGAGTTATTGGACAAATTTCCATTTGTCCAACAAAAGGTTAGTAAGTTAGTTCAGATTAGTTCACGACATGAGTGACGACCTACTTCAAATACTGACTGTTTGTAATTAATCGGCTATATGCGATATTCAGACAAGACAATATTAAATTAAAAATTTTAGTGTAGTATGGATGGATCAGTTTTTTTGGCTTAAGATTTTAATTACAACAAGTAACTAATATAAGACATACAATCAGCCCCACGTGTATCTAATAAAAATTGCACGTTAATCTATTAAAGATGGACTCGTTTCAGCTTTGCAATTGAATGTGACGATGATGAGCTCCAAAGCTCAACAAAGTTTTATGTTGTCTTGCGGTATCTATTGCCATATTTACCAGCATAACAAATACGCTTAAATTAAATAACGTTGATAATTATAAACTATTAAATTCCAGCAGGCATATTTGGATTTTTTTTTACTTTAGTTAATTTTATCAAATTTTCTTTTTCGGCTGATAGCCAAATATTTTAATTGAATATTTCTCAATATTATATAGTTTTAAAGTGTGCGAAAATGCTTAAATAAATATTCTATAATCATGGTTAAACTTTCATATCACAAAGGTTGAAACATCCATGTTACGCTACTTACATACGCGCTTTTTATGCACTATAGACGCATGGCGTATAATTGTCTGATTTTCGGACAGACAGACAAAGTTTTCAAACTAGATCTTTGTTCAATAACAAAAGACATGACACTTCTATCGACTGAACTAACTCGCCAACCAATATGATAAAGAAAAATGTTTGTGTTTCCAAAAATCTAAACCGAAATCTCGTTGCAATTTTATTTCGTCGGCTTTTATTACCTCTGTTCACCCGATACAGAATTTTCGATATCGTCCCCTTTCAAAATGATAACGAGACTCAGATATTTAATGATAATAATATTTCAATAAGTTGTTATAGTTCATTATTTTAATTTTTTTTATTTTTTCAGCTTTCTGAGGCAGATGTTATCTTTCAATCCAGTGATTAACGCTCTACAAAATGACTATCACCAAACAGACAGTTAATTTTTGCTCGCATATATGTACGTACGTGTGTGTGTGTATATATATATATATATATATATATATATATATATATATATATATATATATATATATATATATATATATACATACTAACATATTTGTGTGAACCTATATGTATGTCAATATTTGAATTATGACAATTTTTTTTATGTACGAAGAATTTTTATGCAGGAATAAATTAATAATTATAATGAGCTGTGTCTATTGTCATTGTATCGTCGAGGTAGATCTAAGTTATTCAAATTTAAAATAAATAAAAATAAAATTTATAATATAAAATTATAAAAATTTATTAAATTTAATATTAAAATTTTTAAACTTGGAGTACATTAATTGTAAAGTTTCTAGAAGTTTATCAAATTTATTACGATGGAATACGTAAATAATATGCGCGTGGTACCAGATACATTTTAATTTTTTTCAGAGGTATCAACGTTAGGCGCGCATTGCGTGCAAAATACACGTGAAACTCTTTTTTGACAAATTTAGAAATTTGTCAAATTTAGAAGTTGCAACTTGTTAAAACCGCAATTTGATTATTTATCTTTGCCAGCCATCGTTGCATTCGGATTTAACGTATCAGTCGATTAATCAATCCTCGTTTAAAGTCTCTATCCGTTATGGGTTGGACTTTTTTTCCAGTCATCAGCTTCTGTCTCCAAGTCGATCGATCCATTGCATCCACCTAATTGAGACCAGGACTTTTTTGGGCGACCTATTGGGCGGTAATCGCATCGTTTTCGCTTCACATGGCCAAACCATCGTAGGCGATGACGACGACATGCATCCTTCAGTGTTCAGGTACACATTCCCGATCGGTTCAGGTTCTCGGTTGTATGGATATGTCCCTTAGGTCAACATGCTGCATCTAACGAATCATCTTCATGTCAGTTCGAGTTGCTGTTCGAGTTTTCTCATCGGCCACGTCTCTGCACTATACATCAAAACAGAACGTATAACTGTGTTGTACAGCTCTTAGCATAGCGGCAGTGCCACGCCGCATCTGTACCGAGGCAAGGAGGTGCCGTCTGCCCCATGCCGTACGGATTTTACTACAATCTGAATTTGTAGGTACGTTGAAATATATTAAAGCACGAGGATGATGATGGGTGTTGTTTTTTGGCAGTTATGTCCTAAAAACTACGTATACATAAGGTAAGAAAATGATTTCGATGTTGTCTGCATTATTTTTATCTTCCAGGCCTAGACATCCGTTCATTCAAACAAATGGTTAAACCCGAACAAACGGTTAATCCCTGAAGGTACAAAAAAAATAGAATGTCGAGGCCGATAATGCTTCGGTTTTACATAGCCTATGAGACGCAAAAAATGCTGAGGAGCACATTTGTCAACAAGAAATTTACATTTAAAATAATTTTTAAAAGTTTTATCTTTGATTATTTTGAACATATTTCAGCCAATTTATGCTGATAGCTTTAAAAATCCAATTCTGAACGTTATGTGCATATGCGCCATTAAAAAAAGTAGCGTAACTCAATTGTTTTTGAATTGTACAGTTTTTAATAATGGTTTCAAAATTTATGAATGATTTTAAAATAGGACTTTCTTTGAATTTGTTGTTGAATTCTAATGTGAAGAGCATACGCAGGCATATTTTAGTTCATTAAGTTTGTTTCATTTTTTCACTTCAGCTTGAAGTTTAGAAAAGTTTTTATTATGTTTCAAATATTTCTGCCTTTCACTAGACAAAAACTGCATTGATTGAAAAAATTTATTTTTAAACAAATGATTATTATATAAAAAAAATATTTATTTTTGAATGCATACCAATTCATACATGCAAAAAGCCATATATGTTTTTGTCTAAAAATATGGAAATCTATGTATAATTAAAGGGATAAAATTTTTCGCCGACTGTTGACTATACTACCGGAATAATATCTCTATGAAAATAATTGACAAGAAGTATAAAGCTGGATAAGGAAGATATTCATTTATTTATAAGGCTTGTAAAAGAACGAAGGTCATTGTAATGATCACTGCAGACCCATCTCAACTCTCTTCCTAAATACACTGGTATCAAATCTGCAAAATTGCCTGAAGTATAATCCATTTGAAAAAAATCAGCTAGTTTTGATCTACTTCCAAAAGTAGGCACTTGAAATAAATTATCAATATCTAACGGAACATTAATTTTACAGTAGAAATCTGTTACTCCATCGCCGATTGTCATAAGAAATTTGGTCATCAATGATGAGAGTTGATCTTTATTTTTCAGCAACCATAAATAACAATTGTATGCTTTACTATCAGTGTTATCCTCAATTTCTATATTATTGTCAAAAACATTTTTGTACTCGGCTAAATTCATGAAAATTTGGGCAATAGGCAGTAACATTTTTGCAAATCCGTTAAATTCATTGCAGCATTGAACGATTTGTATTAAGGTCATTGCCATGTTCAAAAGACAAAAAACATGTTCTTCGTTTTTTTTCCTCGTTGAATTTAAAATTCTATAACCTGTAACTTTAGCCAAATGCCAATAAGTTGGATTTTCGCATAAAAAGTGAACTTCAAATCCTTCCATGAATCGAGTTTTAGACTGCGTTTGCCATTCTTTTTTACAAATTTGGCTGCTAGAAGGTAAAATTAAGACTAATCGAGGAAATTCATTGTCAGGTGGGTAGACATTAGAAAAAATATTTTCAACGTAGCACGGATTTGAAAAAGATTTATAACTTCCTGTCATGGCTCTACTCCAGCTACCTAAATGATGCCAATAATCACAAACAGGTTTTCTTTTCAACAGTACACCTTTAAAATATATCGGTTGTGGATTTGATTTTTTGAAAAAAATACATTTTGGGCAAAAAATGTAATGTTGATTTTCAAAATTACAAAGTTTTTTACGTTCAATAACATCAGAAGACGAAAAATTAAAAAAATCCGTGTTGTAAGACAAATTTTTGGCTGTTTGTTTTATATTAGGCTTTGTAGTCATATCCATATTTTTTCCTCCAGCATGCAAGTAAATATATTCCAAGGTTAATTTCATAGTGCAGCAAGGTTGAGAACCTCTAACACAAATTCTAATTCGTTTTTGATCATCACTTATATTTATTTTTAGTTTATGATAAACATTACAAGAATCCAACATGTTCTCGCCTCGGGTAGGATTGCAAGATTTTTTTACATTAAGATATTTAAAATTATAACAATCTGAACAGGACTCGACATCCGATTTAACGTAAAATATTATTTGTTGCTGTAACACCACAGGGATTGGATGTACTAAAACACCCAACTGATCGATTCCTTTTGCACTGAGAAGTGATTTGACTAAGTTTATGAAAGTATCATTTTTAGATGATGCTAAATTCACTTCACAAGTAATTTGTTTTTCATCAAGACTTGGTTTGTCGTTCCATATGTTGGACGATGGGTCGCCAGATCTTAAAAGTTTCGGAAATAAAAATATTTCGGTTTTTATATCTAAGCAAGTATTAGTCAAACAAAAATAATGCATGATCGATCTGATGAACCTAGCGACATTGATATGTTCTAAAACTTTTTTGGTGTCGCAACAAATTTTTGTAATTGATTTTGAAATTAAATTTTTTAGATTTGATTTATAAATCAATGGATTATCTAAACTGTTCAATACGCAGTTTTCAAGTTTAACAAGCCAATTAGGCTGAGTTATGACGTACTGAGCATCGTGGTTTTCACTTTCTTTCAGGATTGTTAGATGACATCGACTTTGACAGTAACGCAACAGCAGTGGTATCTGCCAAAACACGATATCAAAGCTGCGGCATATTGAAACGATTTCATCGTATAATACAATAGGTGGATTATTTGTACACGATAGACGGTTCAAGTGTTTAACAAAAGATATCCAATTCATCGGTAGCACATTAGTGCTATTTTTTAGAGAATACAGACAGTTGTCACTCGCAAAATGACGGATAAATGCCTTTCTAAGACAATCTATTCCTGAATTAGTTTTTTTATTTTCTTTTGGAAAACACTTTCGAGAATCACATTCATAGTATCCAATAATGTGGGGAAAGCATGTGTGCATTTCTGAATTGGGAATATCTGACAAACAGCAGTTTTGAGGATTCATCAGGATTGAATCAGTTGTACTAATTGTTTGATCAACAAGACCATGTGATCCGTAAGTCGAACTTAAACTAAAATCAACACAACTTACGCCAAATTTAGACAAAGATTTAACTTTTAAGCATCTCGAAAGAATTGCTCTAGTTGAACATAAAAAGCACGTTGAACACGTTTCTGAGGAATAGTTTTGCTTATGACATTGTCTAAATTTATCTATCAATTCTTCTATAGCTTTTAAACTTGCTGAGAACGAAATTGGTTTGATCAGTTCGGCTTTTGTGCCAATTAATATAACCGGAGTGTTTGGAAATAGTTCATAGAGTGTTTCCAACCAGATCTGTATTCCAATAATATGTCTCATAAAAAATATTTGTTGAGATACGTTCTGTGGTTCAAAAATTGTTAAATCAAACGTAAGACATATCGCATCGAATTCGAAATCTTTTATGCAGGTGTTTATATAGTCCGAATCTATAAGAAGCATTGTGATGTGATGTGACATATTTGAATCGTCTCTTATGTTAAACGATTCTGATTTCAGGTGTTGAACATTGCCTCCGTCTTCGTTTCTAAACTTCAAATCTTGTCTGTAAATTTTTTTTATTTTATCACAAAACAATAACAATCATTGCACATTAACTAAAAAATTGAAAAATACATGACATTATTATTGTGTTGTTCACATCATAACTCAAAACAACGAAACTATTAGAAAAGTCAATCTAACCTACATATACCTTTCTCGTCGCTCAATGCAGCAATTAAGGATTTTTTTCCTGAGTTTGATTCCCCGACTACGGCTATCACGATATCTCTCCCCTCATTTAAATTGTTAGAAGTAGAAGACGTTAAAATGGAATGTAGGTCTAGGTGATGTATTAAACTTTTTACGTCGTTTCTGATATTTAACGGTCGTAACGTTGAACAATAATATTCAAAATGTCTTAATCTCTTTATAAGATCAGATGCAGTATATGGAATGGTTTCAATGAAATTATAAGAAATATCCAAAACATTCAAACGGCCGAAGTTAGCGTAGACAATTTCTGATATAGAAAGCAATTCATTTCTATCGAGTCTTAAATCCTGTAAATACAAAAAATTCCTTATCCAGCTTATGTGCTGTATTTCATTTCCGCGAAGACTTAACACCTAAAATTAAAAAAAATTTTGCCTTATGTTAAACACATTGAAATATTTTAATTTTATGTAATAACCAGCACTAACTTGTAACTCTGTTAAATTTGATATCGAGTTAGGAAGGACTTTAAGTTTAGGCTTCTGAAAATCAAGACATAGTATGCGTAAATGTATCAGCTCTCCAATTGATTCAGGTAATTGGGAAATACAGTTTCGACATAATTTTAACACTCGAAGACACGAGGACATGTTCAAAATACCAGCAGGAAATGAAGTCAACTGAATTTCACAAAGGGCTAAAGTTTGCAGAGACAACATTTGCAGCACATTATTTAACTCACTTTCGTCAACCTTGCATGAAAGACCAATTATGTACAGGTTTGACAGAAACTTCAACTCAATCTGAGAAAACACCTGAAAATATAAATGAACTTTTTAATCCTAATTTTTATTGATTGCACGTTAAAAGCTTAAACATGTTTAAAAATGGGCGAATATTTTCGCAAGTCGTCGCCACTGATAAAATTGTAATAAAGTAATTTAAATTTTTAATTTTCTAACAAAACCCATTCATAAAATTGTTTTTGTTTCTATAAAAAGTTCATAAAATTAAATAAACAGTTGCAACTAACATTTAGATAGGCGAAATTTATTCGACCTCCAATGGTTTGAACCAAAGAAGGAATGGCTACCTCAATATTATCTATATCTTATTTTATATCTTCTGAATCCCACCAACACTCTTCATTTAAACAAATATACTGAACTCGGATGATACAAAATAAGATAAAAAATATCGAGGTTGTCATGTCTTGATATGAATAAACTTTAAAATTACATTTCAGTTTCTAAGACTAAGCTGTTACACGTGTGATTTTTCTTTTCCTTGCCATGATTTTAATAAAAGCGCCGTTAATTTTAAGTTTAATTTATTAACTAATATTTTAAATTAAGTTTTTAATAGAAAAGTATATAACATTTGTGAACCGATTTTGAAATGTTTAATCTAGTAATGTTTCAAGACGTATCGAGGAATGCGTCAATTTTTTAAAGAGAGTGTTATTAACTGGTGCAGGGTTTGCAAGTGTTTTGTCAAATGTTTAAGTGTACACTTTTGAACGCACATTCACCCAATTTTACTTTTAATATTAATTTTAACACAAATTTAATTTTTATTATTTGATTAACTAAATTATTTTGTAAATAGTTAAAATGAGTTTAGCACACTGGAGAAGTATTCTTAAATATTCTAGCAATATTTAAAATTGTGTTTGCACTTACTGTCCAGTTCGAGCGACCGGCTTTTTTGACGAATCAATAAAAAGAAGTGTTCTTGAATTAGTGGAATAGTTTTAAGCAATGGTTTTAAAATCTATAGAACACAAAACGGTTTAAAAAACTTCTTAATATTCTAAAATTAACTTTTTAAAATTATACATTCTGTAATTGAATTTTATAATTTGAAACGATTTGGAACTAACTAAATGTCCTGATTATGAACTTATTGAAAGTATTATACTACAACAAGATATTAGATTTATCAGATAAATTAGCTTAATATTTGAGCCAACTTGACCATATAAAGAAGTGAATTATGGTTAGTTCACATTGGCGAACATTTAGATCGCATTTTATTACTTGTAACTGATTTGTAACTAAGGACTTTTATATAAATAACATATAAAAAAGAAACAGAAATACAAAATTTACTTTTTCTATAGGAAACGTTAATCCAACGGAATGTAAGACAATAAAATCTTTTATATTGCATATTGTCGAGGCCTTCAAGCAATCCATCATCTTCTCCACACCTTGCTGGATGCTGAGAAAACATTTAAACTTATTTTTGCCAAAGCCCGGCGACCAAGTCGAGCGGGTAAGACTGGACTCGCGCTTGTCTTCAATGCTGTCATTATTGTCTAACTTTTTTTTGCTATTTGATTTGTTGTGGTGATCCTGACATTGTACGTCGCTGAATGGAATATCAAGGTACCATAGGTTGCTCGGCAATTTCTGTTTGGGGATATTCAATAGTCACATCAATCGTGTGCATAGTTGAGTCAAATAATCTGCAATTAAAATGAAACTTATTTCTATTACTAACTAATCTACACGTTTTTGATTAATAATACGTAACAAATTTAAAACATTGGCCGGGAAAATCTTAACAAGATTACCGTTTGAACATTAATTTTTTGCAAGATAAAATAAACATTTTGTTGGAACGAATTGATAATGGAGCATTTAATATCTGAAAAAACCCACAGACATAGAAAGGCTTTTGTTTTTGGGGGTTCGCAGATCATTGAAAGAAATTCAAATAAAGTTATTTTATACTAATTTTAACAAATTTTAGGGCTTCAATTTATAAATAGTTAATGGGACACTCAGGTTAAAAATTTTTCAGAGAAATTTAACAACTAAAAAATTTTACCGTTTCCTTTTGGGCAGCGTTGAATTTGTAAATGTCAAAGGAAGATGAATCAAGAAGAACTTGGATGACATCGGAATTAAGGGTTTTGAGTGCTAAATGAAATGGAGTATGAAATGGATGAACCTGCGTTGAAATTTTTTTATAAAACTTTTAATTTTATCGACAATAACATATAAAATGTTAAAGAATTAGAAAGAAAAATTTTTTAAAAACCACGCTGTCATACGTAAAATAATTTTAGTATAATATATATACATTTTACAACGCGATAATTTCTTGTTCGATTAAGCTGAAATTATTGCTGTCCTGCTCGATAATACACGATTCAATTATTAGACTTGATTTTTTTTAAAATGCTTCCTTTGAACTTTATTCATTCATTCATTCATGCATTCATTCGTTTACAAAACGTTATATAAATATTTGTTGTTTATGCAATTAATAACTTTTAGCAAATAAACATAAATAACAAACTAATATGATAACTATTATTTATTTGAAAAATTAATTTATTTTAAAAAATTTATAATTTTTTAAATTACTGACTAACTGTATTTAAAATCCACACCAAATTTTGCTTCCCAATTCCTCGGCATACAAAAACTTGAAAGAGCGAATACAGTAGAGATAGTTGGTCACTCCATCAACAAGCCATAAACCAAACTTATCTCAAAAAAACATGCCAGGGAAGGAATGCACTTTTTCAATAGAACGATCGAAACGAAACGATCAGACGCTTTCATACTTTCAGTGCAATAAAACAATTAAACATTCGTTGCGGATAAGTGAATGCTACACTTAAGGAAAACACGTAGATGACATTCCGTTCATCTACCATTGTTTATAATTTCTTAACGCACACGTGTTTAACTCTTTATTTTTTAATAAGCAATTATACCTACTGGCACACACCGTGTGTTATAATATTTAAACAAACATGTTTATCTTCTAGCATTGAAATATTATACTATAACAAGTTTTAAGCAGCGCACTTTCCGCTCAAATTCTTCAATATGAATTGTTTAATTTTATGATTATTCTTATTTGTGCTTAAACATTACAATGCGCCATTTAAACATCAACAAGTTAGGAAAATCAATTTGTTAGTTTTATATAATAATATTTAAAAAATTATTTTATTTGGTGGATTCTATTGTTTCCAACAAATGTCCAAGGACAGTTTAAGTCAGGGCGTCTAGGTTAATAAAGAAACTGTCTCCTTTTTTTCTTTTCTATTATAAAAAAACTGGTTAAAATGTTTAAATCAAATAAAAAAATGACCCAATGGGCGATTTTGCCTCCAACTTTCAAGACGGGAGATTGATGCCCCTGGTTTGAGTTGCAAGTTGAACTAATATTATTTTTAAATGTTAAATGTTTGACTCGATATCGGCATATTTCCAAATCTAAAAACTGCTTTATAAATCCAGCCAGCAATCTTTGTTTCAAATGTAAACTTTTTTCTTTAATGTATTGGAGAGCTTCAATGAGAAAGTAATGTTTGATTGACTTGACATTACTGAACACGGAGAAGAAGCGGAAAAAACAGAAACCATATATACAGTTCAGAAAACGAAAATCAGAGTTTTTTTTTTTTTATTTCAGTCTGATATATAACGATCAGTTATAAAGACGTAAGAGTTAAGATAGAAAAAACATTTTTATATATAAAATTTTTTGATACTAAAAATTCAGTATAATTTACTAGTTATTGTATAAATTAAAGTAATTTCCCATAATAAAAACATATATATCAGCATTCATATAAACATATATATCAGCATATAAAAATATATATATATATATATCCAACAAGTTTATAGTTCAGTAATATATATATAAACTTGTTGGATGAAATGAAAACGCGAGATGAATGTTCGATGCATCCCTCCAATGTTAGCTCCAGCTTACGTACAAACAGACGAATTTATGGCCTTCACGTATTTTGGATGTCGGAGATTTTAAAAGCATTTTTTCTACAAACTAAAGTTATTTAAGTCGGCCCTATTATTAAGATTAATGTAATTTATTTAGTGCTGATGGAATTTTAGAATCACAAATATAATGCAAATCATTTATTACGATTAGGACCAACATTTTGTAAAAAAAAATCTAAAAATGTAATGTAAAAAAAAAAAAAAAAAAAAAAAAATTTTGTACCAAATATTTTAATGAAATGATCAAATATTTAATTTGAAATTAATCATTTATTGCACAAATTATTCTATCATTATTGAAATAACTACAAAATTAAGAATAAAACAGAAGGGCAATACTTCTGTTAACCATAAAGTATTATATTCTCCAATGATGCTGCTGAAATGACGCAAACAACACGTCCAATATGGGAAGTGGCATGATGAATAGATGGGGGTGGTTGGAGTTTAAACAATAGTTACAATTTACTGACGTGCGTGCGCATCATATTTCCTATCTCGCCCCTCCGATATTTCATATCTTTCCTAATATCATGTTTACATTTCATTCAGACAAAGCTGTGCATTTTAAAACGTAGGGAGTATTTGTTATAATTCAGAAATAATTTATGTTTTTATAAAAAAACCCGTATCTAATAAAATGTATAGATAATAAATCTAAATTGGAGTAAAAAACCTTTCACCGAAACACTTCTACGTTATTTATTTATTTCTTTTATACGTTTTGTTTAAATTCATTTTTTAAATCTCATTTGTCGAATAACTAAATAGATAAATAAACCAAACCAAACAAGAGTTTTGAGTTGCGTCTGACTAACCGCACTCAGATTTTACAGTGTTTTGAAACGTTGAAACTTTTTTTCATAAACCATCTCAATCTTCGTTCTATGCTATATAAACAGTGAAAATGTTATTAGATTCTGTTCAAGGATTCTGGAGTCCATGGGTTTTATAAGATTAGTTAGCAAATAGCGGACACCACGAACAAAAGCTGAGTTAAGTTAACGTGTTAAGACCTCGCTGCCAAAAAAATATTTATTGCTGTCACAAAAATATTCATAATTGCCTTCTCCACGGTTGTTTTAAGTTTCGGCTTATTTAGTTTATATTTTTTTTTGGAAAAGTTATTATATTATAATGGCAACGAAACTTTTACTGACTCATGCAAGAAAGTTAGGTATTATATCAAACAAACAAATAAGTGGATTGGCAAATAAGAGAATGAACAAAAAAATTGATTAATTAATTAATTAATAGATAAAAAATATATTGAGATTAGTAAATTATTACGTGTCAATAAGATGATACTTACATGATAAAAACTTGTTGTAAAAGCTAAATTTATTGAGTTGAAATATCGCAAGAAAGTTTTCGCAATCTGAGTAGAAGACACAAAACATTTAAATAATGTTTAGAATGTAACGAAACGAAATACAACCTTGAAGATGATTAGGTAAATAAAATTATAATAAATATCTGACTGAATCCAAATAACATGTTCCCGAGACTTTGCTCTTACGGTTAACACTCTCAAATATTTTTTCCGATCATAAACATTGAATAACAAAAGTAGTACCTGTCATAAATCGGCGAGCAATTGCAGAATTTCAAATAATAGCGATGCCGAATGTGGCAATTATTCCATACGCATCTGCATCCATTCCTTCATTCATTCGTTCTTTTAATCGTTCAGTCACTTCTTCTTACTTTCTTTCTTTGTTTTATTTATTTATTTATTCACTCATTCATCCGTTCATTATTTTTGTAATCATTGCTTAAACATTCATTATTTTTAAAAATAACTGATAGCCTTACTTCAATATCAAAATATTATTATATTAAAATACTATTATTTTACAGTAAATAATTTTTAACTTTAGTTGCAATTTGAAGATACGAGCATGAAATGGTAGTGTCGAATATTTTTCATCCGACTCCGACACACTGATGAAAAGTAAACAAACATATGATATCTCTTTTTGCGTTTGTCAGTCAAAATCAGGCTGATTATTTGTAGGCATCCCGATGGCGTGTAAATAATAGAGAATAACACTAAAAAGAAATCAGACGAAATCTGAATGCCTGCTGGCAGGCAGTGAGTAGATACCAAGCTAAGCTAACATTCCTACGTTAGAATTATCCAATTCAACCTGACAAGCGAAAGTTTCGTTTCCGACTTATGAGGGCTTACAACCTTGCAGCAATAACAGTCTGCTTTGCTGTTTTAATAAATATAGTTTTCGTTAACTAATGTAATTAATGTTCATTTCGTTAGTTGGGACATGACTTTTTTTTAACACGTTGTTAAACATTATTCAAAAACACATTTATTTGTTTTGACTGAAGAATTTTTGAAAATAAATTTATTATTGAACATCTTTCATTTATCGTTGAGCACAGTTTACTGAACGTTTGAAAAGTAATTTGAGCGATGATGAAAACCGCAGACCAACAACAACAACAACACGCAACATTTGCAATTCATGTCATTTTGAATCGCAGTCTGTGAATGGATATTTAAATTTTAAATCAAGTGGACGGAGGGGCGGTGTAGAGGTGGAGCGCCCGGTTTTACGATGTAGTGATCGAATTCGAAAGCAAAGAAATCCCTCTTTACTATTATCTGCTTATGCGTTTGCTGCATTATTTATGATGTGTACGAACTCTCTGCATTTGCTGAACGTTGAACAAGTCGAACAAAAAACTTTTCAACGTTGAACGGTTTTTTGAACACAAAAAATAGTTCATTCAATTTACAGAAATTGATTGATCAAAATTTTTCAGGAAATTTTAAAATAATTCGTCTTTGTGAATATAAAGTTTTTGTTTGAAAATTATTTTAATGTTTAATTTACTGATGGTGATGAAGTTTTAAAACAAAATTTTGTGCCTGTTTATTGTTTCAGTGTGTTTATTGCAAAATATTTTTTTCAGAATTCATTTTCATCATCATAAAAAATTGGGACATGCCATGCTGTGTGACTTCGTGTCAAAACTCTCATCATAACTTGGCGAGATAAAATTTCAAAAAGCTAAACTAGTTTTATTTTTTCAAATACAAATATTTCAAAATCACTCTTGAAATCTAAGTTGAAAATCATGTTAGTAATAATACTATATTATTAATTTTGTTTCAGAAGCTTGCCATATAAAAACTACAAAGTGAAACCAAAAATTTAAAACGCCGAATTAATATTTTCAAAAATTTAGCTACCGGTTTTGCTTTCGTTGGCAGGCTGCAGTTGTATTTATATCGTTCTCACTCACTACATCATCTGGTTTTAAAAAACATCAACTCATTTCAAATGAGAGATTTAGTCTCTTGAACCAGCACAATATTTAACTATAAACTTACGTTTGTTCTGGCATTTCGAAAACACCTTCGCAAAATATTTAAATGATATTACCCCTGTTTTAAACTTTCAAATTCGTGTAACAAATTTTTTTGGGTTAGACCCTCCTCATCTTACATTTCGATTCCACTCTGTTTTGTATATTAAAACTGTTACAAACCTCAAAACCATTTACAAAATTTTTATATTTAAAATAACAAAAATTTATTGATTCATACGAATCAGGAATTAATTTTGTTTTGAAATTGAATTAAATTTTTCACTCTTCATATTTAAGATAATGATAGTTAGTTGTGTAAAAACAAACTTCAATATTTAATTCAATACTGTACTAATTTTTAATAATCAACATTTTTGTAATAGCAACAGATTAAATTTTTTTTTTGAAATTATTATTAATTCAAAATTTAAAAAATTTACACACAAAAAACGCGTTTGAAATAATTATCGACTTAAACAAAACGATTTTTCAAAAATGAAAAAATATCTAAATAACTGACATTTTCTTTGAGGGTGACGTCAGCTCCAGACGCCACGATGAACCTGAT